GACACAGTGTGAACAGAAACACTTGTTGCCTGAAAATTGACAAATTTTAAAACTGCACACATGACCGGTCCAGCGATCCAGCATGATTCAATCAGCAAAGTGAACAGAAGTGGCATCACAAAAACTCCCACCAGCAGATCAGACGCAGCCAAAGAGAGGATGAGGATGTTGGCAGGTGTGTGGAGCTGCTTGAAGTGACTAACAGAGATGATGACCAGCAGGTTTCCACACACGGTCAGAAGAGCCACAGCTGCTGCGGCCACATACAGAATCACATAGACAGATAAAGAAACAGATCTCTCTGGACACGAGTAGTCCTCGCACATATCAGTTTGGTTCACTGCTGAAAGATTCATTGTGAAGTATTTTAAAGAAACATCCAAACAGAGCAGGGTTTCCCGTGGACAGATGAAGATCTCCTCAGTGAATGTACTCATAGTTTCCACTACAGCAGATAAAGGCAGGATACAGGCTACACTGCTTTTTATAAACTTGACATGTTGACTCTTTCCAAGCATCAAGGGAGACAAACATACAGCTGGGAGATCAACTGATTCTGTTCATCCAGAAAAAAAAACACACACAGAACTAAATTAATGTGTGATTAAATGAAGCACATGAATGCTCTTCTATAATTGGCTTGCAATTAAATGCCTTCTGCCAGCTCTAAATACACAAATAGACCTCATTAGAGGAGAAAGAGAAAGAAAGGCCTCGGCATGCTGTAATTACAACATCTGCCAGCAGGGACAGATTGAGTTAACAGGTTTTTTATGAAACTGCATTTGAACACAGATGAAAGAATGTACACTGATAGCATATTCGCAACATAGGCTCCTTCTGAAAACGCAGCCGTATATACATTTCTGGAGATCGTGAATTATGTAGCCAGGGATATGTATGGCTGCATTTTGTCTTTAAAATGAACGCTACGTTGGGGTATGACACCATTCCTTTTTGTGCTTACCAGCTGACCGCTTACCTCCGTATGTTCGGCTTTTCTGCTGTTACCAGTTTGTTCAGTAGCTCTTAATGTACGTGTGAGGATTTGAGACACAGATTGGATTTGGTCACAATGATGGGGTTCGAGTCCAGCAAAGAACGATTGTAGAAAGCAGTTTAAACAAAAACAAAAGCCAAAAATAAAATAAACATGTAAATAACAAGGTAAGAATGTGGTAAAGTCTGAGAAAAAGTGGGTGGGCACTGGTCAATTGGTGCTTTTGAAAACACTATTGGTTGGGTTTAGGGAGGTGGGTGGCCGCTGGTCAATCGGTTCTTTTGAAAACCCCACCGGTTGGGTTTAGGTAAGTGGGTGCTCACTGGTTAATCTGTGCTTTTGAAAACACTATCGGTTGGGTTTAGGAAAGGGGGAGGGCGCTGGTCAATTTGTGCTAACACTATCAAAGCACAATCTGTGAAAACACTATCGGTTGGGTTTAGGTAAGTGGGTTGGCACCGGTCAATTGGTGCTTTTAAAAACACTACCGGTTGGGTTTAGGTAAGTGGGTGCTCACTGGTCAATTGGTGCTTTTGAAAACACTATCGGTTGGGTTTAGGGAAGTGAGTGGGCGCTGGTCAATCGGTGCTTTTGAAAACACCATCTGTTGGGTTTAGGGAAGGGGGTGGATGGGTGTATCGGTCAGTCGATCGTTCAGTCAGTAAGTCGACAGCAGCCTCTGGTGGATTTACGCAAGAACAGCAGGTGCGAATGGCACTCATGAGAGATATTTGAGATCTGAAGAAAGTGTAGACATCAGATTCACGAAAACAAAAACGGCAAAAAAACGTAGCTCCTGGGATGTATTTGGCACTCTCCACTCTCCAGAAATGTACAGTATATAGGGGTACGTTTTCACAAGGAGCCAGAGCTTAAGCGAACGCTACAGGGTGGTATGACGTCGTTCCTTTTCATGCTTACCGGCTGAACGCTTACCTCCGTGTGGAGGGCTTTCCCGCTGCAATCAGTTTTTCCAGTTAGCTCGTCGTGTATGTCGGTGGACTTAAGACATGGAGAGGAGCTGACCAAGACGACAACAACCGAGTTCGAGTCCGGGGAAGAGCGCTTCCAGAAATCAGGTAAGACAAAATCAGAATCCAAAAAATTAAATAAACAAGTGAATAACAGGGTGAGAATGTGGTAAAATCAGAAAACGTGGTAAAAACCAGACGAGGGCTTTTCTTTTCTGGATGGCTTTTGTGAATTGTTGGTTTGATTTAGGGAAGTAAGTAGGTGGGTGGGCCAATTGGTAAAATTGGTTGGGTTTAGGGAAGGAGGAGGGTGAGTCAGTCGATTGGCCGGTCGCCCAGTCAATCATTCAGTCAGTCAGACAGACGGTCGTTCAAAAGCGGCCTCTGGTGGGTTCACGCGAGAACAGCACGTGTAACAGCGGCACTCGCAAGAGAAATTTAAGATACAAAAAAGCGCACACAGCGGCCTCTCATGGATTTGCGAAAACAAAGTGGCAAAAATATGTACCTCCCGGGACATGTTTCATGGTCCCCAGAAACGTCCCCGGGACTACGTTTTAGGAATGAGCCAGGGTTGTTATAATTAATCATTAGCTAAGTGTGAACTCTTGAATTCAAGTTGATGCATGGTATTTGGATGCATCTGTTCTCCACAGACATGAATGGGAAGGATTAGCATATCATATGCATGCAAAAAATGGATGTTGCCGTATGCATTGCATGCAAGGAAAGTGTAAAATTGTGTTATTTGAATATAGATTTATGAGATGGATTGGAGAAAATAAACAAAACACTGGAATGCAAGATGCTTGAATTTGCATATACAGTAGGCCTATATCTAAGTATCAGAATCTTGGATGGACTCGCCCCCATAGGTGTCCCCACAGTGTACAAAAAACTGATATACAACACAAACAAAAAAAAAAAATTATGAAATGCAATTAATTATTTATTCATTATTCAAATTATTTATATGTATCTTTGTAACAATTTAAATATGACATGATAAAACACAATCTGTGTCGAAGTGGTACAGATGCCAAATGAGAGGTTTGAGAAAATATGTATTGCTTATTTACCACTGCACGTGACAGAGATCAGGAGAGAGACATAAGTTTGTGAAGCAAAGTTAATATGTTTTGAATGAGTGTTCTTCAAAGCTCTATGCCACTTAAAATAAACCAGATTTAACAGCAATATTGAGAATACGTGATGACATTTATTCGAATACTTTACATTTAATGTGGGGGAAACTTTGTATGGGAATACTTTTTCCCTGCAAAAAAAATATTTGTTCATTAATAGGCCTGTCACAAAAATCAATATATAGACTTATCGAGCAACACATGAACATGACCTCAATGGTTTTTGTTAATGCAATATACATCATCCTTACATAAAAACCAATTATAGTAACACTTTAGCTGATTGCACAACCTCCCTATATCTACTGGAGGTGTCAGTGTCAGTATGGTTTAAAAACACTGTAATATTTACTATAAATGACCTCAGTATATTTTCAAGTGGGTGTCTGATGACTGAAAAAAGATCTGGTAGCAAATATCGCAGCCTCTTAGTTTTGTACCTTGCACTTTTTTGTTAACGTTTATTATTTAGGATATGTGTTTTCACATTCTGATTCCAGTGCCTGATTATTACATTATTAAAATGACTATAATTAAATGAAATATTCTTAAGGACAAAATATGATGTGTTCTTTGGAAGAGTGTACTTGCATTGTGATGATATGTTGTCATTCTGGCATTATATAATGAATGGCATAAAATTATATAATAATAATTGTAATATTGTTTATCGCATTGTATTTTGGAGCAATATATCGTATGACAAAAAAAAAAAAAACTTGTTGTGTAAGGCCTATTCTCTAACAGTTTCCGTATTTTGTGATTCACAAGTGTTTTCCATATATTTACGGCTGTGAATTGCACTATGAGAGCTAGATCTCTGCTCTATCGACTTTTGATGTTCTACAGTTTAACACAGTGACTTTTATTGACATTTTAGAAATAATCTAATGTATAAGAAATGATATATAGAGAAATAAGTCTGCAAATGTGCTGGCAGCTTATTGCGAAGTTTTTGTAGAGTGATATACAAGATCAAAACAGACAATATATCAGTTTAAACTATTAAAATGTTAATAAAAGTCACTTTTTTGAACTTTTCCATGTTAAAAGTTGTTGGAAGAAAGATCAATGACCTATAATGCAATTTAAAAGCATAAATAAACAGCGAAAAATAAAAAATGCGAATCACAAAATATAGAAAACTGTGTACACTCAGAAATGAAGGTATGCGAGCTGTCACTGGAGTGGTACCTTTCTAAAAGTTACTTGTTTGTACTTAAAGGATATTTATTGGTACCTTAAAAGTATATATTAGTACATACAAATTTGAAGAGGAACACTTTTGTTCTTTTTAGGTACTAATATGTACCCTTGAGGTATTAATATGGACCTTTTAGATACAAATTTGTACCTTTTGAAAAGGTACCACCCCAGTGACAGGCCGTGACCTTTATTTCTGAGAGTGTACATGCAAAAGTGTACAGTACATGCAAAACACATGGCTTCTATTAGACTAAATGTGGCCCATTATTTGACCTTCAGGACTTACATATAAAGTGTGGTTTGTGACATTTGGAATATAATTGCCTTATTCAGGACTGGGGGTTCATATAACATCATAATTACAGTACAAGCTTGAATTTCCTATTTACAAATCACAAGTAATTCCTCATACGTTAAGGGTCTCGCATTTTACCATCGTATTACTGTTATTAATCTCAAAAGGAAAATGCAAGTTAGGTGTCACATGGAAAAAAAGGGCTACATGCTCATTCTCAGCACATTTTAACAACCTGAAAAAGATCAGTGTGTGTTAAATCAACTGTATCTTGGTAATATCTGAGGAAATATTCAATAGCTGTTTTGTGGTGAGGAGTTGGGTATAAAATGGCAAACAAATTCACATGGACATTAGTATACAGATAAACAAGTGTCTTACATTTAATAACTTTGCACATTCATCAGGGAAGAGTCTCTCTGAAACACTTTAAATGTGAAAATTATTCTTAAGCTTTTCTTAAACCAGGGGTAGAATAAGGCATAAATTATTGGATTAATGGTGGAGTTCAGGAAGAAAATGATCACACCAACATCTCTGAAAAATATGAAATCAACAATACTGTATGAAATCACTAAAAAAGTATAATATGGCAGCAAACAGAGGAGAAACACAAAGACCAGAATCCCCAGCAGCATCGCAGCTTTTCTCTCTGATTTGTCGCTGATTTTGTTCTTAGAGGATTCTGTGCTGTTGTGAACCTGAACGGCTCTTATAGCAGTCGCATGTTTCTTAGCAATGACAAAAACATGAGTGTATAATATTATAATGAGCGTACATGGCATTACAAACACAATCAGGAGATCAACAAAGGATGAAATCTCATCTACGACATAAACACACACTCCTGGACACACAATATCAGTGAAGTTTCCATTAACATACAGAAGACGAAAGTTATAGAAGAGAGAAAACAGCCAGTTTAGCAAAGCTGCTATACAGATCACAGTGGGGGAGATTTTCTCAGAGTAAAAAAAGGGAAAACTCAAAGCTAAAAAGCGATCGACAGCTATTAAAGCCACAGTGTGAACAGAAACACTTGTTGCCTGAAAATTGACAAATTTTAAAACTGCACACATGACCGGTCCAGCGATCCAGCATGATTCAATCAGCAAAGTCAATTGAAATGGCATCACAAAAACTCCCACCAGCAGATCAGACGCAGCCAAAGAGAGGATGAGGATGTTGGCAGGTGTGTGGAGCTGCTTGAAGTGACTAACAGAGATGATGACCAGCAGGTTTCCACACACGGTCAGAAGAGCCACAGCTGCTGCGGCCACATACAGAATCACATAGACAGATAAAGAAACAGATCTCTCTGGACACGAGTAGTCCTCGCACATATCAGTTTGGTTCACTGCTGTAAGATTCATTGTGAAGTATTTTGAAGAAACATCCAAACAGAGCAGGGCTTCCCGTGGACAGCTGAAGATCTCCTCAGTGAATGTGCTCTTGTAGTTTCGACTACAGCAGATAAAGACGGGATACAAGCTACACTGCTTTTTATAAACTTGACATGTTGACTCTTCCCGAGCATCAAGGGAGACAAACATACAGCTGGGAGATCAACTGATTCTGTTCATCCAGAAAAACAGAATATGTGACACACAGATCTAAGTGAAAGCCTGCTGAACTATGCAAAACCTATTAATGCTCTTTTAAATTTGGTTTACAATTAAATTTATTCAGTCTGAAGGGCCTAAACTAGGGGAAAAAGGGATATTTGGCCCAAGAAAGCTGTATTTACAACTTATACCAGTCGGGACTGACTGAGTCACTCTAAATCAGGGGTGTCCAAAGTCGGTCCTGGAGGGCCGGAATCCTGCTGACTTTAGCTCCAACTTTCTTGAACACACCTGCCTCGAAGTTTACATCTAGTAAAAGCTTGATTAGCTTGTTCAGGTGTGTTTGATTAGGGTTGGAGCTAAACTCTCCAGGACACTGGCCTCCAGGGCCGAGTGTGGACATCCCTGCTCTAAACAGCCAAACCTTCACTTTAAGGCAGGGGTGCCCAAACCCGATTTTGGACTGCCAGTGTCCTGCAAACTTTAGTTCCAACCCAAATCAGACACACAGGTATACACTTACCAGCCACTTTAGGTACACCTGTCCAACTGCTCGTTAACTCAAATTTCTGATCAGCCAATCACATGGCAGCAACTCAATGCATTTAGGTATGTAGACATGGTCAAGACGATCTGCTGTAGTTCAAACCGAGCATCAGAACGGGGAACATGGGCTGGTTTGAGTATTTCATAAACTGATCTACTGGGATTTTAATGCACAATCATCTCTAGGGTTTAAAGAGAATGGTCCAAATATGAGAAAATATCTAGTGAGCAGCAGATCTGTGGGCGCAAATGCCTTGTTGATGCCAGAGGTCAGAGGAGAATGGCCAGACTGGTTCAAGCTGATAGAAAGGCGACAGTAACAAATGTTTTAATTTGAATTTTTTTTTTATTTTTTATAAATTGGTCTTGCACTTCATATTTTCAGATTTTTCATAGTAGATCTATTAATTTCAGTACTGTTACCATAAACTGACATATCAACCATTTGGTAGAGGTTGATATTTTAGAAATTTCATGTGTTGAAATAAATTGCAGTGGGAGTGTTAACTAGTGACATTGGGAGTTAAGAAATGCAATCCACACATTTTTTTCTAGGTGGGGTAGTTGTAGGGTTAAGTTACAAAAGCCTTTACTGGGCTGGCTGGTACTTTTTCAAAAGAATCTGTCAAACGCTTAATGCAAAAGGTCCTTTCTTTGTGCGTAAAGGGCAACATTAGTACATAAAAAGTACAAAACTGTAACTTTTGAAAAGGCACCACTCCACTGGCAGATTTTATTACCTTAATTTATGAGAGTACATTCAGTTCCAGACTAAAATGTTAGTCTAAGCTGGTTCCGCTGAAAAAACTTGGCACTGATGTGTCTAAAAATAGATAAGTGGCTTTGTTTTTTTTTTTTGTGTCATCTTCAGCGATTTTATTTATTTTCTTTTTTAAGGCACATTTATAAAAATGAATTACAATATATGTCCTGACTGAACTCTGGCCTAATCCTTAGTTTTAAACCCTGTCTGTTATAGCAAGCCTTACAATTAAGTGCGTTTAAAGTTATTTTGTGAAATCAAATTGCATTTAAATACTTACTTACACTGTATAGGCACATGTTTATCCTTATAACATAGGCTAAACCAGTGTCTCCCAACCTTGTTCCTGAAGGCACACCAACAGTACACATTTTCATCCTAATTAAACACTCCACAATCAAATCAGAGAACATTAGAAGAGATTCCAAAACCTGAAATGAATGGGTCAGATAAAGGAGACATCCAAAATATGTACTGTTGGTGTGCCTCCAAGAACAGGGTTGGGAAACACTGGCCTAAACTTAACACGCTCTGTAAAACAAGTGGAATATTTTTTAAGCAGACAGTTCACACAGAAATCAACATCAGCTGGTTATTTACTCTCAGGCCTATAAGATAATTTTCTTTCTAGATTAAAGATGATTTTTTACTGAAACTATGATCTGTGGTTATTCTTAAAATGCAAGATAACAAGTACTGATGGACATTATATAGGTCAAACGATCTAATGTGTTATACTATTGCTAAAGTGATAGTTCAACTAAAAAACAAACTTACAAAAAAACAAACAAGCAAGCAGTCATGAGTGTTAATTTTGTTTTGCTTGGGTAACATTTTACAATAAGGTTCATTAGTTAATGCATTTACTAACATGAACTAATCATGAACAACACTTGTACAGCATTTATTAATCATAATTAAACATTTACTAATGCATTATTAACATGCTTGTCAACATTAGTTAATGCACCGTGAATTAACATGAACTCACAATGAACAGCTGCATTTTCACTAACTAATGTTAACTAACATGAATAAATACTGTAGTAAATGTATTGTTCATTGTTTGTTCATGTTAGTAAATGCATTAAGTAACATTAACTAATGAACCTTATTGTAAAGTGTGACCTTTGCTTGTATATGACAACATATTCTTGTCTGAAATCCACATATAACATAAAGGTTTGCTGTTTTACATTATTAAAATTATTCATTTCAATATGAAGATTGAGTTTGCTGACACGTTCATTCTCAGTGCATTTTAGTTGTCTGACAAAAAGGTCAGTGTTTGATCATTGTCAAGATATAGTTTAAACGAACTGTATCTTGACAATATCTGAAAACAATATTCGAGCTGTTTTGTAGTGAAGACTTTTATATACACAGACATTAGTATACACACATATACAAAAATATATGAAAACTTAACAACAGGAAGCATTCATTTAATGACTTTGCACATTCATCAGAGAAGAGTCTCTTTGAAACACTTTGAATGTAAAGATTAATTTCAAGCTTTTCTGAAACCAGGGGTAGAACAAGGCATAAATGATGGGATTAGTGGTGGAGTTCAGGAGGAAAAATATTACAGCAACATCTCTGACATGAAACAAGTCAACAGTGCTGTATGAGACCACTATAGAAGTAATATAATACGGCAGCAAACAGAGGAGAAACACAAAGACCAGAATCCCCAGCAGCATCGCAGCTTTTCTCTCTGATTTGTCGCTGATTTTGTTCTTAGAGGATTCTGTGCTGTTGTGAACCTGAAGGGCTCTTATAGCAGTCGCATGTTTCTTAGCAATGACAAAAACATGAGTGTACAATATTATAATGAGTATACATGGCATTACAAACACAAGCAGAAGATCAACGATTGATGAAACAACACCTACAACAGAAACACACACTCCTGGACACACAACATCAGTGAAGTTTCCATTAACATACAGAAGAGTGACGTTATAAATGAGTGAAAACAACCAGTTTAGCAAAGCTGCTATGCAGTTCACATTGAGTGAGATTTTCTCAGAGTAAAAAAAGGGAAAACTCAAAGCCAAAAAGCGATCGACAGCTATTAAAGACACAGTGTGAACAGAAACACTTGTTGCCTGAAAGTTCACAAATTTAAAAATGGAGCACATAAGCAGTCCTGAAGTCCAGCATGATTCAATAATCCAAGACAAATAAAGTGGTATCACAAACACTCCCACCAGCAGATCAGACGCAGCCAAAGAGAGGATGAGGATGTTGGCAGGTGTGTGGAGCTGCTTGAAGTGACTAACAGAGATGATGACCAGCAGGTTTCCACACACGGTCAGAAGAGCCACAGCTGCTGCGGCCACATACAGAATCACATAGACAGATAAAGAAACAGATCTCTCTGGACACGAGTAGTCCTCGCACATATCAGTTTGGTTCACTGCTGTAAGATTCATTGTAAAGCATTTGTAAGAAACATCAAAACAGAGCAGGTCTTTTTCAGACCTTCTTCACACACAAAAAAACCAAAACTCATGCAAGCACAGATGAAGATGCATTTGTCTCTCCAGCAGCTCTGAATGGCTCCTCACTGAAACACAACGTGTAGTCAGTCACCGTTCACCAATTAAGACGTGCTACAACGCACACTGCCTTTTATACACTCGACATGTTGACTCCATTCAAGACGAGCAGCATCAGGGGAGAAAAGTATTCATTTGGGAAATCAACTAATTTAGAAAAGTGTCACAGAGATCTCACACAAAAACATAAGTGGTGGTAAATAAAAAGTATAAGCTTAAAGCAAAAACATTGGATCTTTTAAATCTTGATATATGCACACGTCAGTTTTGGATATGCTATTTAATGTGAATTCAGGCCCGTAGCCAGTCTAATAAAAGGCATGATTCTGTTTTTATTTTCGAAAAAAGTTGACCCTTTTTGCAGTTATACGCCTCATTTTTAGTTTAATTATGAGATTTAGTGACATTTTTAGCACTATTTGTAGCTGTATTAGTTTGTCGGATGGTCACTTTTTGATATATCAAAAATATTTCCTAAAGATCTATACTAAAGAAATGTGAAAAATTACTTATTTTTAAAATACATATTTATTACATCATATATCTTTAGAAAAAACAGAAATCTGTTAAAGTTTTAAATTAAAATCTGTAGTCTATTGTCATTTATTAAGCATATATTATAAACTGGTGAAATTCTCTCAGTGAGAATTTGACCATTTAAATGAAAAAAATAAATAAATAAATATATATATATATATATATATATATATATATATATATATATATAAAACATAATAATAATAATAATGTAGAACTTCACAATGGAAAATTCATAGATCACAACAATAGCCAAAATAGTATTCAAATCAGTTTCAATAGTATTCATATGGTCCGTTTTTGGTGCTTCACAACCTTTTAATTTCTCAGTTTTTGTTTCAGGAATTAGGTGCAAGATTTAGAATAAAGGTCACCTGTAAAATATTTTCTCTTATTAAAAACAATGCAGTAGCGAAAGATGACTTCTTTTACGTCAGATTGTAAAATGAATATTTTTTAGCAGTGGCCAAAACTGATTAGCTGAAGTCACATCGAAGCGACAGCCAACGAGGATTCAGCTTGGTGTTAAAGCCTTTTTTGATGGGTTATTTACACTAAAACAGTCAGAATAGGACAAATGAGCTCATGGTTGAAATTCTGTCCCTGTCAGTGAGGGGTGGGTCTTACCACCCGAACTCCCCCTGGCTATGGGCCTGGAGTGTAGGTAGGCAACAGTATGAAATATAGTAGGTTACTAAGTAATTTTTAGCAGAAGACCTATATGGCAACAACTAGTGTAGGTAGGCCTAATCATGGGGGAAATGTTAGCCTATATTTCAAAGTAACATTGAAAAATAAGATAAAAAAATCACATAAGTGGTATTAAATATGTTCAAGTCAACTGTATAAAACTGTTTAATTGAGATTGGGTGCCATTTGTTTTATGGGTTAAACGTTTGCGCATGCTCTAAAAAAGACAGAGCAGATTATTTATTTACTTATCTATTTATTAATTATATTCAATTTTTTTTAAACATTTTATTAGATTTTGGTTTAATAATATGAAATCGATCACAATGTTATTGTACCTTTTCGTCTATGCTTCAGTTGCAGCAGGAAAAAAAACTTATATAACAATGAATTGCTTTATAGCGTGCCTCTCATCCAATAAATCACAAAAACAAACAAACTACGCGTCATGTCTGATTTATGAAATACTTTCAGTTTTGTTACGATATTTCAGCAATACCGTTTGCCGGTCTTTTACGCTGAATGAATCTTTTACGCCGCGTGCGCCTCAGTTGAAGTGAAGCAGCAGCTTGACTACACGAGGGCCAGCATATTCGAGGAGGATTCATCTTTACGGCTTGTCTAACAGCGTGAAATTGACTTGAACGAACATCAAAAGGTATGTAGAAACATACAGTACAAGTTATTAAAATTTACGCCATTATATATCATGCTAAATCCGGGTTTCCACCGCCGAGACGTCGATAAACAGTTTGTAAACAATGACACACAATGTACGTTACGTTTACCCCAGGAAGGCTAACGTTACACCATTTAGTTAGCCTGCTATAATTACTTCTAGCAATGAGCTTTTTGCTAAATATATACACAAAATTTCACATTAAGTTTTTAACCTGTCGTTTAATAATTATTGCTTGAACAGATGTGTTTTATAGTAGTCTGATAGCCTAGCCACCTTTAAAAAGTTTATAATTTCAAACCAATAGCAAAAACGGTTTATTATTATTATTATTATTATTAATAAATAACGTTACTGCCTTGTGTGAAATTCAAATATTTACCTATCAATTTAATTTTAACCTTTAATATTAGCCCACAGTATGTAGGCCTACCAGATAGAGGTAAAGTTGGTTTTATATTTGCACAATCAGACTTTCCCTTTAATAATATAATTTCATAAAAGTATAATTTGCAAACTCTAAATAGTGAAATCATATTAGCAGTCAATGACTATTAAAGTACAACATTTCTCATGGTCACAAAAACAGTGTTAATGTTGATTACAAGTCATACTGGCAGGCTAATTCTGATCGAATATTCAAAGTAACATGGTAAACAATATAGAGACTTCTAAATGAACAAATGTGTGAATATAAAACCAACTTTACCTCTATGCCTACCAGTTCTAATGGTTCCCTGTTTGTAGTTTGCAGTAGGACTGCACGATATTGGTAAAATCAGAGGTCACACTGTATTTTGATGGTCTGTTTTAGATTAAATGATCCGTATAAGTAGTATGTTTGGTTGGGGTTGGTGTAAGTTTCTTATAGTCAGTTAAATATCTGTTGAAGGAGTAATATCAGCAGATATTATGCAGACAGTCTGAGTCTACTAATACTCAAATGGACCATCAGAATAAAGTGTTACCACATTGCGATATAGAACATTTTGAGGTATGTAAACAAAAACAACGGTCCCATCGTGTTTCCCGTTTTACATTTTTAATTTCTATAGCTTCCGAGAATCCAAAAAGAGCCACATATTGATAATGTTATGATAGCTGTTTTAACTTGATTGAATTGCCTCTTGTTACAGTTTGATAACAAGCTGGAAATGTTCATGGGCCATTGACATGACCACATTGAAATGCTTTTTATATTGCAATATGAATATAATTTCACCACATTATTTTAATGGCTCTATGTGGAAAGATCTTAATTATTTAGATAGATTTTGGGATGATCAAGTCTTTTTCTTTGCAGTGTGCTTGCATAAATTATGATAAATTATAAGTGAATATAAATACAACGGAGATAAAAGTGAAATAACAGTGCTTTATGGTTTTCTGCAGAGTCTAATGGTAAAACAAACATAAAATAACATGACCATCATTGTATAAACAATAAAAAAAATTATATGTAAAAAATATTTTTATGTTTCAATATTAAATAAATTATATAATCCTGTGATTTGACTATTGCGGATGCACACGTCGCGACATCGATGCTTGTGCAGTCGTAGTTTACAGCATTAGCTAATTTTTACGTTGAAAAAAAGTATATGTTCATAAATCTACATGAATGAATTCTAATTAGGATTAAAAGTGAAATCATATCATGAAAATTGTGTCAAAAACAAACCCATGTGGAAAACCTCACAAAGATATGGTTGCTGTTTTGTAAGGAGCTGTGATGTATTATTAACATTTAGAATAAGGAGTTATTGTCACTGACTGGTGTTTAAAGAACAACTTGTTGTTTTACAGCCTTTAAACATTATTAAAGCACTTAAACCTTTCTTGATAACCTGCTTTTTTGTTTTACATAGTTTTACAATAAATGCATTATAGAGGGGAGACTGGAGCTATCTTTACAAGTGTCAAAACAGAAAATATACTATATATATATATACAGTTGAAGTCAGAATTATTAGCCCCCCTTTGCATTTTTTTTTAATATTTCCCAAATGATGTTTAACAGAGTAAGGAAATTTTCACAGTATGTCTGATAATATTTTTTCTTCTGGAGAAAGTTTTATTTCGGCTTGATTAAAAGCAGTTTTAAATTTTTTAAATAAACATTTAACGTCACAATTATTAGCCCCTTTAAGCTATATTTTTTTCAATAGTCTACAAAACAAACCATCATTATACAATAACTTGCCTAATTACCCTAACCTGTCTAGTTAACTTAATTAACCTAGTTAAGCCTTTAAATTTCACTTTAAGCTGTATAGAAATGTCTTGAAAAATATATAGTCAAATATTGTTTACTGCCATCATGACAAAGATCAAATAAATCAGTTATTAGAAATGAGTTATTAAAACTATTATAGAAATGTGTTGAAAAAAATCTCTCCGTTAAACAGAAATTGGGGAAAAAAATTAACAGGGGGACTAATAATTTTGACTTCAAACCGTATATGAATCTCAGTCTTTAGTATTCTGCTGTGGAACAAAATATTAAACAGGATAGTTCAGTTTTAAATGAACATAGGAAACATTTAATAGGTGTTTGTATTATAGAGCAATGTTTAATGACAAAATAATGTATAAAAACACATTAATCTAGAAATAGGAGGGGAAACATTCTCTTATATTAAAATTACCTACATCACATTCATAAGCGAGGAGTCTTTATTAAACGCTTTCAATGTAAAAATTAATTTTAAGCTTTTCTGAAACCAAGGATAGAATAAGGCGTAAATGATGGGGTTAATGGTGGAGTTCAGGAAGAAAAATATTGTAGCAACACTTCTAACGTGATACAAGTTAGCAGTACTGTATGGAATCACTAATGAAGTAATATAATACGGCAGCAAACAGAGGAGAAACACAAAGACCAGAATCCCCAGCAGCATCGCAGCTTTTCTCTCTGATTTGTCGCTGATTTTGTTCTTAGAGGATTCTGTGCTGTTGTGAACCTGAAGGGCTCTTATAGCAGTCGCATGTTTCTTAGCAATGACAAAAACATGAGTGTATAATATTATAATGAGCGTACATGGCATTAGAAACACAATCAGGAGATCAATAATTGATGAAATCCCGTCAATATTATAAACACACACTCCTAAACACACACTATCAACAAAGTTTCCATTAATATAAAGAAGAGTGAAATTATAGAGAAACGAAAACAGCCAGTTAAACAAAGTTGTAATGCAGATCACAGTGGGTGAGATTTTGTCTGAGTAAAGAAAAGGAAAACTCAAAGCCAAAAAGCGATCGACAGCTATTAAAGCCACAGTGTGAACAGAAACACTTGTTGCCTGAAAAGACACAAAGTTGAAAACTGAGCACATGACTGGACCAGAGATCCAGCATGATTCAATGAGCCAGGATAAGTGAAACGGCATCACAAACACTCCAGTAAGAAAATCAGACGCAGCCAAAGAGAGGATGAGGATGTTGGCAGGTGTGTGGAGCTGCTTGAAGTGACTAACAGAGATGATGACCAGCAGGTTTCCACACACGGTCAGAAGAGCCACAGCTGCTGCGGCCACATACAGAATCACATAGACAGATAAAGAAACAGATCTCTCTGGACACGAGAAGTCCTCGCACATATCAGTTTGGTTCAGTGCTGTAAGATTCATTGTAAAGCATTTGTATAGCAAACATCCAAGCAGGATAGTTTTTCCTGTGCCTTTCCTCATATAAGTATAAGCACAGATGAAGATCTCTGTGGATGCATTTGTCTCTTCCGACAGCTCTGAAACACAATGTACAGTCAGTCACCGTTCACCAATGAAGACGTGATAACGCACACTGCCTTTTATACACTCGACATTTTGACTCCTTCCAAGACTGGCAGCCTCAGGGGAGAAGAACATTCAGCTGAGAGATCAACTTGTTTAGAAAATGTCACAGAGATCTCATATAAAAAACAGATAGGTAACCTATAAATCACTCATATCACCTCTATTGCTTAGGATTGTCTACGATTTTTGCAAAGTCTAGATTTTGGATCAGTTTTAAAACATTATGCTATTTTAATGGGACATTTGTGTATTTAGAACAGAATTAGTTAAATAGACTTAACTTGCTTGTAGGCATGGGACGATAAGCGTTTTACCTTAGTTTGAAAAAGTCAAGATTTTAAAACTGCCAAACTTTTCTGCAATACCGTTCCTATGGTATATGTAAGATATTTTTTTTACATGTAACATTTTATGCTTAGGCAACAGTATCTCCAGCAGAAAATATATCCAAAGATGTCATTTTTGTGTTTTTGAAACTAACGAAGTCCACAGATGTCAATCATTCATTTGAATTATTTAGCCTAACATGTTTAGTTTTACAAAGTAAGTTTCTCAAAATAAAATATATTGTGTTCAAAGGGGGAAAAAGGTTTTGTGTTTATTACCCAGACATTTTAAAGGAATATATTTTAGAGCAGTAACCACAATATCGTTAAACAGTGAAACAATAATAATTTCATCCAAGGTTATCATACCGTCAGAATTTTACACCGGCTCATGCCTACTTGTTTGTTTAGATAAGCTATTCATAAAACAAATAAAAGTCCTGCTAATTAATTAAACAACTCTTGTTAAACAAACACTTTGTGTTCATCAATATTTGATGATTTATTGCATTTATATAGTATAAATTAAAAAAAAAAGGTGCTATTTTAAAAAAAGTAGTTTTAATGAAGGTGGCGCAATGGTTAGCACTGTTGCCTCAAAGCAAGAAGGTTGCTGGTTCGAGTCCTTGCTGGGTCAGTTGGCATTTCTGGAGTTTGCATGTTCTCCCCGTGTTTGTGCGGGTTTCCTCCGGGTGCTCTGGTTTCCCCCACAGTCCAAAGACTGTGAATTGGATGAACTAAATAGGCCTTACGTTGGCGGTTCATTTCACTGTGGTGACCCCATTAATAAAGGGACTAAGCCGAAAATGATGAATCAATAAATAGGCCTTAGTGTATGTGAATGTGAGTGTGTATAGGTGCTTCCCAGCACTGGGTTGCAGCTGGAAGGGCGTCTGCTGGGTAAAACATTTGCTGGAACAGTTGGCGGTTCATTCAGCTGTGGTGACCCCTGATAATCAGGGACTAAGGCCAAGGAAAATGAATGAATGAGTTTTACACAGTCTTGACTAGCAGGTTTCACTAGTTTGTGCTGTTTTGAATGCTTTAAGATGGAATCTTTTTGGGGAGCAGTTAATTTAGAGCTAGGAAAATGTTTAAATTTCTTCCCATTGATCGGCTGTAGTGTGTCAACACTTAATATTACACAAGTGCAGACTTTAACACATTTGACTGTCACATACTCTAATAGTATGTAATTGTTTTGGTCTAATTTGAGCCACTATATAAGGGGATAGTTCACCGAAAAATAAAAACACACGATTTACTCTCCATCAAGTGGTTACAAACCTTAATCCACTTGGCTTCTGTTGAACACAAAAGAAGATACTTTGTAGAAAGCTAAAAATCTGTAACCATTGCATTTTTATAGTAGAAAAACCAATAATGAACGTCAGTGGTTACAGATTTTCAGGCTTTCTTTAAAATATATTCCTTTGTGTTCAACAGAGGCAAGAAACTCAACAAAGGTTTGGAGTAAATGATGACAAGTAAAAGTTTTTGGGGGGGAACCATCCCTTTAAATGGGCGACACGGTGGCTCAGTTGTTAGCACTGTCACCTCACTGCTAGAAGATTGCTGGGTCGAGTCCCTATTGGGCCAGTTGGCATTTCTGTTTGGAGTTTGCATGTTCTCCCAGTGTTGGCGTGTGTTTCCTCCAGGTGCTCCGGTTTCCCTATACTCTCCAAACACATGCGCTTTAGGTGAAGTGGATAAACTAAATTGGCCATAGTGTTTGTGTGTGTGAATGTGAGAGTGTATGGGTGTTTCCCAGTACTGGGTTGTGGCTGGAAGGGCATCCGCTGCATAAAACACATGCTGGAATAGTTGGCGGTTCATTCCGCTGTGGCGACCCCTGATAAGGGACAAAGCTGAAGGAATATGAATGAATGAATGTTTTGAATGTTGCCAAAATATTACGGGGGAACTTTGTTCTGAACAGATAAATAAGCATTTTATCCAAAAGTAGCCTTTGATGCACAAACAGAGCTTCTTTTAAATAATCTGATAATACAGTATAACACCATTTCTCAGATTAAATATTCAGTATTGTAAGACATTTTAAAAACACAAATGTAATTTACTGAAACTGAGTTTACGTGCAAGACCTACTTAAAGAGAGAGGTATTCAAATAACTTGCAGTTATTACAAACTTTATTCTGATGAATTATGGTTATATTACTGATGTATGTGCCATCAATCCGCTTGTCTTGTTTCTTTCTTTGTATAAGCGGGATTTGAACGCTAGTAGTAACATGAGACAGTCCAGTGACGTCATTTCGAAAATGTTTAATAACTTAACTAAACTTTATTACACAGTCTTGCTTCAATCTTCCTCACAACTTCTTCCTTCCTGGAAGTGACACCAGCAAATACTTTTATTAAAACTTAAATAACTTTTAGTAAAATATTTTCAAGTTTTGCTTTTCACATTATTATTAATTTAGCATAAAAAACGATGAACTTAAGGCTCTTTTGACTAAAATATTGAATTATAGAGGAAAGACAGGAATTATATTGCACAAGGTTATATTTCAGTGAACTGAATCTGGACATAAATGGTGAAAATGTTAATTTACATTATTATAAAGTGCATTGCCCCTTTTCCATGTCAATTGATTACTATTACTAATTACAATCAAACAAAATTGAGCAATTCCACACAAATGTCAACCTTGCCATAAAAATATAAAGTTTTCACCAAAATAGCGAAACCCTTTCTACGTTTTTTTGTGTAGGCTTGTACTTTACAGTACTGCAAAACATACTCAAATATGTCTGCCATTGTTTTCAAACCATTATATTTAATTTACTAAAGTCAAACAAGGGGCAATTTCACATCCATCACATCCATAACGGAGAGACGTCACATCCATAACCAAGCTTTTCCCTCATAAATGCGAAAATGTAAAATAAAATCAATCATGTTTGTTCTATAGTAAGCCGACGCTTATCCTTTTGATTAGCATCGTTTCTCTTGGGTCGTGCAGTTTAATTCACAGAATTTCTACAAAGTATGTTGTACACTGCACTTTTTTGGCCACATACATAACGCATACTTATTTTGCTCATTTAAAATATACAATATGTTTACAGATTGATATTTTTCAGATCCCTTAACTCTGTGGGTAGCAGTCAGTATAACGTTAACATACTTTCTCTGTGAATTTACATTTTAAGGTTTTACTGCAATTGTCACATCCATAACGCTGGAATTGCTCAATTACTGAAAACTAAAAAGCAGAAAAAAAGTGTTCTGTGTGAATTTGTGAAACATGCCTGTTTGATTTATTCAATAACTTACTGCACATTCATCAGAGAGGAGTCTTTAGTAAACAATTTAAATGTGAAAATTATTTTTAAACTTTTCTGAAACCAAGGATAGAATATGGCATAAATAATGGGGTTAATGGTGGAGTTCAGGAAGAAAAATATTACAGCAACATCTCTGATGTGAAATAAGTTAGCAGTACTGTATGAAATCACTAATGAAGTAATATAATACGGCAGCAAACAGAGGAGAAACACAAAGACCAGAATCCCCAGCAGCATCGCAGCTTTTCTCTCTGATTTGTCGCTGATTTTGTTCTTAGAGGATTCTGTGCTGTTGTGAACCTGAAGGGCTCTTATAGCAGTCGCATGTTTCTTAGCAATGGCAAAAATACGAATGTATAGTAATATAATGAGTGTACATGGCATTATAAACACAATCAGGAGATCAATAAGGGATGAAACCATATCAACGACGTAAAGACATTTACCTTGACAAATGACATTAGTGAAGTTTCCATTAATATAAAGAAGAGTGAAATTATAGAGAAACGAAAACAGCCAGTTAAACAAAGTTGTAATGCAGATCACAGTGGGTGAGATTTTCTCTGAGTAAAAAAAAGGAAAACCTAAAGCCAAAAAGCGATCGACAGCTATTAAAGCCACTGTGTGAACAGAAACGCATGTGGCCTGAAAAGTCACAAAGCTGAAAATCAAGCACATCGCTGGTCCAGAAATCCAACATGACTCAATGACCCAAGATAAGTGAAACGGCATCACAAAAACTCCCACCAGCAGATCAGACGCAGCCAAAGAGAGGATGAGGATGTTGGCAGGTGTGTGGAGCTGCTTGAAGTGACTAACAGAGATGATGACCAGCAGGTTTCCACACACGGTCAGAAGAGCCACAGCTGCTGCGGCCACATACAGAATCACATAGACAGATAAAGAAACAGATCTCTCTGGACACGAGTAGTCCTCGCACATATCAGTTTGGTTCACTGCTGTAAGATTCATTGTGATGTACTTCTATAATTTCAAACATGATTGCAACTTATGCTCCTTGGGATTGAAACTGTAAAAATATTGCTCATCCTTTGAAATTCAGTCCACGATGAATTCTGAAGGTTCAGTGATATCACCTCATGCCGCCTTTTATACACTTGACATGTTGACTCTTTCCGAGCATCAAGGGAGAAGAACATACAGCTGGGAGATTTCCAGATTCTGTTTGTCTGGAAAAAGAATAATTTGAGTAAGAAGGTTGCTGGTTTGAGTCATGGCTAGGCCAGTTGGCATTTCTGTGTGGAGTTTGCATGTTCACCTCATGTTTGTGTGGGTTTCCTCCGAATGCTCCGGTTTCCCCCACAGTCCAAAGACATCGCATGAATTGGATTAACTAAATTACCTGCAGTGTATGAGTGTGTATGTGAATGCAGGAGTGTATGGGTGTTTCCCAGTACTGGGTTGCGGCTGGAAGGTCATCTGCTGCATAAAACATATGCTGGAATAGTTGGTGGTTCATTCCGCTGTGGTGACCAATATTATGAGACTAAGCCGAAGGTAAATGAATAAATGAATGTATCTTGTAAAAAAAACAACAACAACTGTACAAGCTTTCGATGGAGTAAGACACCATAAGTGCGTCCAAAATTGCATATTGAATGAGCAGGTAAAACATGAATTTGACTACACAAATGCTCTGTTGAGAATGAATATGCAACACAATCTCACAGCAATTCGTAACTTTTTGATTTAGTGGCTAATTCGTATAAATTCGTACAATCTAATTCAATTTAGTACGATTTGCTCATCTCACAATTACGGTTGGGTTTAGGGGTGGGGTTAGGTGCCACGCCTCCTTTTAAAATCTTACAATTTCGTACAACTAAACTTGTACGAATTCGTACGAATTAGCCACTAAACTGACAAAATGTAAAATACTTACGTTTTCTCGTGAGATCAGGCTGGAAAATGTATATGAAATAAGTTCTGACATGATACATTTCTTGGTCCCAGTCCCATTTATGAGTTCTTCAAGTGTACACTGAATATTAATTTTAGGATCTCAGCAGATGTTGTAGTTTATGAAGGTATTTTTGCATCCATTGCATTTTCCAGTTTATTCATAGTAGTGATGGGCATACTATTTTTCAGATAGTTTTTGGGGAACTATTTATTAACATCTCATATTCACACATTTCTGATTAAGAAATGTGTCATACATCTATAACAATTATTTGTGGAATGCAGTTTATTAACGAACAAAAGCTAGCAAGAACAACTCTTCTTAACAGGTTTGGCAGGTTTTCGCAACAAAATTAGCCCAATAAATGGCCAGAAAACCTAGCCCAAAGTTCAATCACAACTAAAGTTAGCCCATGACATGAAAATTAAAACAGGCCGGCACCCATTTATAAAATAAACATTTTACATTACTGTAGCCTACGCATTGCACATGGTTTCTTATTTCTCTAACTATTTAAAATTCTGTTATCATAAAAATAATCTAGCCTCAGAAAAACTTTTTACGTTTTGTCAGATTAGAACTGGGGTGTCAAACTCAGTTCCTGGAGGGCCGCAGCCCCGCATATTTTAAGTCCAACCCTGCTTCCAAACATCCCCCTGTTGGTTTCAAACAAGCCTGAAGGACTCGATTAGTTTGATCAGGTGTGTTTAAATAGGGTTAAAGCTAAACTGTGCAGAGCTGCGGCCCTCCAGGAACTTAGTTTGACACCTGTGGTTTAGGCGGTAATTCGTACAAATTCATAGGCGTTCATACATAAAAAGGAGGCATGATGGCACCAAATCCTAAATTGTAAGAATGAGATTGTACAAATACACCCGAATTAGCCACTAAATCAAAATGTTACGAATTGCTGAGATAGCTTTGATTAGTCTTGTCACTGCTGTGTGCCGTCTGGTTAAAATCCAGAACAACTCCGTGACCTTCAAACAAACATTCAAGATATGAATTATACTTTTGCGGCTATTAGCAACAATCCTGAAGAGTCCTGCTAATCTTTTACTATGTAAACAAAAACAGTTACTCTCTAATACACAAGCAGTTGGTCATAAGCACGACACAAATATATATCTGGCTTTTAGCAGCATTTACCTGTTTATAGTTAGTGTCAAGATGCCAATTTTTCAATTTAAAATACAAGACATGATCAAGAACAATAGATGTTTGAGCATTTTGGCCTTGGGTGAAAACAGTCAGACTCCTGTAAAAATTTTAAACGTCCAATGATAATAACAAAGTAAAGACATGGCAGTCAAGCAGGTCAAAACTGTGAATCTAACATGAAATCTGAGCATGCTGAACATATTTTACAGAGGAAAGAAAACCAGTTACTCAACTTTTATCATTCACGTAATCGTTTTAAATTAATAACGCTGTAAATAAAACAAATAGAGTTAAATAGATGTTTGTAAAATAAACATTTTTGGAAAAATTATCTGTTCGCAAAGTTTGTACATATTCTCTAAATTTATCGTCAGTCAACAAATATTTTACTTATGACAATGCCATGATTTGACAATAATTTCATCCTTGAAAAACCCATCAGGTTTCATTTACCGAAATATAAGAATATCCATATTACAACTGCACAATAATATAAATAAATAAATTAGGAAAAACTAATCATACGAGGACAGACTTGATTTTTTTAAAATAGTTCCTTATTAAGAGTCTACTGAGAGATCACATTAATCAGAGAAGAGTCTTTGTTAAAAACTTTAAAAGACGTAATTATTTTTAAACTTCTCTTAAACCAAGGGTATAATAAAGCATACATGAGTGGATTAATAGAGGAATTAAGGTAAAACAGAATCAAAACACTGTTGATAACATTAGAAAATGAGTCGTCTCTTAAGAAATTTGTTAAAGAAAAAATGTAATACGGCAGCAAACACAGGAGAAACACAAAAACCAAAATCCCAAGCGCTAAAGCAGCTTTTCTCTCAGATTTGTCGCTGATTTTGTTCTTAGAGGATTCTGTGCTGTTGTGAACCTGAAGGGCTCTTATAGCAGTCGCATGTTTCTTAGCAATGACAAAAACATGAGTGTACAATATTATAATGAGCGTACATGGCATTACAAACACAATCAGGAGATCAATGAAGGATGAAACGCCATCCACAATATATAGACATTGTCCTGGACACATGCTGTCAGCGAAGTTTCCATTTATATAAAGAAGAGTGAAGTTATAAATGAGTGAAAACAACCAGTTTAGCAAAGCTGCTGTACAAATCACAGTCAGTGAGATTTTCTCAGAGTAAAAAAAGGGAAAACTCAAAGCCAAAAAGCGATCGACAGCTATTAAAGCCACAGTGTGAACAGACGCACTTGTTGCCTGAAAGGTCACAAAATTGAAAACGGAGCACATGACCGGACCAGAGATCCAGCATGATTCAATGAGCCAGGATAAGTGAAACGGCATCACAAAAACTCCCACCAGCAGATCAGACGCAGCCAAAGAGAGGATGAGGATGTTGGCAGGTGTGTGGAGCTGCTTGAAGTGACTAACAGAGATGATGACCAGCAGGTTTCCACACACGGTCAGAAGAGCCACAGCTGCTGCGGCCACATACAGAATCACATAGACAGATAAAGAAACAGATCTCTCTGGACACGAGTAGTCCTCGCACATATCAGTTTGGTTCAGTGCTGTAAGATTCATGATACCTGAAGTACTTCGTGGAAACAGCAAGTCTTCTGTCTTATATCGTGCAGGACAATATTCAAATCTAATATTTGTATTTCCAGCAGAGTAAGTCGAGTCTCACTTCATCCTCAGTGTAAAAGGTTTGCATTGTTCCTGGTCAGGAGGATCACACAAACTAAGCCAAACAATATATTTAGCTGATTTTTATACACGTTAATGTCCCCTCCTCTCAATTATAATGACTAATCAATTAGATGATTTCAATGCAGTTTTTTTTTCCATCTTACCACATAATTATAATTTTGTTTGTCATTAGTTGATGAGCTCTTAGGCAGCACATTTGCAGAACAATTATCAATATCATAATGTGTGGGATATCATTCATTCATTTTCCTTCGACATATTCATCAGGGGTCGCCACAGTGGAATGAACCGGCAACTTATCCAGCATATGTTTTACGCAGCGGATGCCCTTTCAGCTGCAACCCAGTACTGGGAAACACCCATACACACTCATTCACGTACATACACTACAGCCAATTTAGCTTATTCAATTCACCTATAGCACATCTTTGGATTGTGGGGTAAACCCACGCAAACACGTAAGGTCGGCCTCGGTGAAGGCTATGCGACCATACGAAGGCTGCTCCAGAGCATACGCGTGCGCTTGACGCAGAAGTATAAATCAGCTTTAAATAGTAAAGTACGTGAGCTTTCCTCCCTCCAGGACATTTACACCAGGCGGTGCATGAGGAAAGCCAAGAGAATTATCAGCGACTCCAGCCACCCTAGCCATAGACTTTTCTCTCTGCTACCCTCAGGCAGACGGTTCCGCAGCATCCGGTCACGCAACAGCCGGCTGAAAGAAAGCTTCTTCCCTCAGACTATTAGGCTGATGGACACTTAACACACCACACACAGACTCTTCCATACCCCTCACTGCACACCATCAAAATGTAGCATTTACTGCACTTTAACCAGTCCATACTTGAAACAATACTGCCTACAACTATGTGGACACCTATTCATTGTACATATCGCTGCCAATTTTATATTGTCCTGTTTTTTTTTTTTGCGTCGTCGTATTTGCAATATCTGTATTTGGCACTGTTTGGAGCCAGCACCTAAGCTTTTCACTCATCATAGCACACGTGCTGCTGATGATGTGACAATAAAAGTGATTTGATTTGATTCTTTTTGGGTGAACTGTCTGTTTAACAGATCTTATTTATACTTTCAAATATTGTGATAAAATATATTGTTTAAAATTACTGACATCTTGCAAGCAAAAAAATAATAATTAAAAATAAATTAAATTTATTAAAAATAAACAAATAAAAATACAGTTTTAGCTACTGAAATGTCCATATACTGTATTTTAATAATTTTATTTCTTGACATTATCACTATTAATGCTTGTTTTTTCTCAAATTTTAGTCACTAAATATATTTATATAATATGGCACTTTTATCCAAATAAACTAAATAATTTGAAAAGAGAAAAGTGAATAATAAAACCAGATCTGCAATAATATACATAAAATTATAGTTTATTGGACTAGTTATTAAAAAATCAATTACTTACAACAACTTTGGCAAACACTTTTTGCATATTATTGACAAAACGTCACCTCAGAATTATAAGGTTCTATCTGACATTTTTGTCAAAAATGAGTTATTGACATATTCTTACTAGTTGACAACTTATTTACATTATGGGATGTTTTTTTATAAGTTGTTTACATTTTAAGACTTTTTAAATGTTACACACAGACTGTTTGCTATGGAACGCAAAAAACTTTGAAGCTCAATATCTCTAAATCATTCAGAATGCAGATAGAACCTTATAATTCCAAGGTAACTAAATGTAAAGATTTCAATCATATCAACATAGTACACACTTCCATTTTCCCCACATAGTTTCTTATCACTTTTCACAATTTCATCATTACTATATGCTGTATTTCAATGCACAAATGTTTCCAGTTGCCACTATTTGGAGGACATTTTCATAGTTTTCTTGAATTTTTGGTTACTAAACCTATATTTACTTTCCATCCAAAGCAAAAATTCGACACAAAGAAATCATAAAAACATTATATATAGGATAAACACAGAAAAACTATACAGTTTTTGGTCTGACCGAGCAGAAAGGCTGGCTTTAATGTTAAATGTAATAGCCTGATTTACTTAGAAATTATATAATCCCAAATTAAATTTCACAATCACAAATAAATAAACAAATACCTCCATAACCACATGTAAAACTATCAGCCTTGATTGGCTAACAGCTGTCCAGTTAGTTTATTCATTTGAAATATAGAATAAATCATAAACTGATTTTCAAATATAATAGAAGACATAAAAACTCACAATGCATTAATCACTCAGGCAGCTCTTTATAAATTATTTGTATGTGAGCAGGTTAAAGGTGAACTGTGCTTAATATGAAACTCCATTTTTGGTAATGTCTCCATCTGGTGGTCATTTCCCTTCACAACTAGTGGTAAATAGAATAACCTTATTCAGTTTCCTTCAGTGAACTGATCAGCACATGATCCGTTTTTAAGCACAGCATAGAACATCTGTGTACAATATAACAGAGATGCAAAATAGAGCTGGTATGCTGAAATTATAAATGTTCACAGAATCGATTTCAGAATAATTTTACTAAGTGCTTTGGGCCACAATGATAACATAACATGATTAATGAGACTAATAATTCTTCAAATGAAGTGTTAAAGCAGGGGTGGCCAAACCCGGTCTTGGAGGGCGGGTGTCCTGCATGGTTTAGCTCCAACTTTCTTCAACACACTTGTCTGTAAGTATCTAGTATAGCTAGAAAGAGCCTGATTAGCTGGGTCAGGTGTGTTTAATTGGTGTTGAAACTAAAACATGCAGGACAACCAGCCTTACACGACTGAGTTTGGGCACCCTTGTGTTAGAGCATCTAGAGCAGCAGCTTCATATAGACAGTACAAAATAGACATTCATTTGTAGCATTTTCAACAAGTGAAATGTCACATTTAAGGGAATTTTACTCTCAGGAAAACATCAGCAAGGATTATAGTTTAAGGTGATGACTTTTAAATGATTTTCAAGTTTCAACACATGGTAAGCTCTATAAAAAATACCCTGGCTTGTTTTGGGGTAAAATATGAACCCGACTGCTGATTTTATTTATCATTTTTAACCAAAAATGGTTGGGTTTATTCATATTTCACCCAAAGTTGCATTGAAACAATTCAGCTTTTCGGAGAGTAGTCTTATTTGGATGATTGTAAATCAATGCATTTAATTGCTTTTTTTGAAACATCAAATAGCACATTTAAATGGCATCAGTAGAGCTTTATTTGTATTAAATATTATGTGTATGTATACAGTATATTAAAATCCCATTCACACCAAAAACAACAATGAAGGCAACAATATTAGTGTCATAGCAAAGCAAAGTAACGTTTACTAAAAAGCATGGATTGAAGTTTTGTCACCTGCCACTTTAAATGCTCAAACTCGCTATTTTATTTTAAACAAAGTTTTACATTTATTCATTCATTTTCCTTTGGCCTAGTCCCTTATTTATCAGGGGTCACCACAGCGGAACGAACCCTCAACTATTTTAGCATATGTTTTACGCAGCGGATGCCCTTCCATTCGCAACCCAGTACTGGGAAATACCCATACACTCACATTCACACACACTCATACACTACGGCCAGTTTAGTTAATCTAATTCACCTATAGCTCATGTCTTTGCACTGGGGGTGAAACCGGAGCACCCGGAGGAAACCCACGCCAACAAACTCCACACAGAAATGCCAACTGGACTCAAACCAGCGACCTTCTTGTTGTGAGGCGACAGTGCTAACCACTGAGCCACCAATTTCGTATTCAACATAAACTAATTTCCCAAAGAGTTCACTCTTTCTAAATTCATTCCTGGTAACATGCTCTTCTCTGATTGGTCAGATCTGTTGGTGTCTATGGTCAATTTGGAAAAGTGGCCGAAGGTCGATTTTTCTGACGAATCATCTGTTGAACTGGATCTCAATCATCACAAATACTGCAGAAGACCTACTGGAACCAGCATAGATCCAAGATTCTCATAGAAATCAGTCAAGTTTGGTGAAGGAATAATCATGGTTTGGGGTTACATTCAGTATGGGGGCATGAGAGAGATCTGCAGAGTGGACGGCAACATCAACAGCCTGAGGTATCAAGACATTTGTGCTGCCCATTACATTACAAACCACAGGAGCGGGCAATTTCTTTAGCAGGATAGCGCTCATTCTCATACTTCAGCCTCCACCTCAAAGTTCCAGAAAGCAAAGAAGGTAAGGGTGCTCCAGGATTGGCCAGCCCACTCACCAGACATGAACATTATTGAGCATGTTTGGGGTAAGATGGAGGAGGCATTAAAGATGAATTCAAAGTATCTTGATGAACTCTGGGAGTCCTGCAAGAACGCTTTCTTTGCCATTCCAGACTTCATTAATACGTGATTGGAGTCATTGCAGAGATGCATGGATGCAGTCCTCCAAGCTCATGGGAGTCAGACACAATATTCATTCTGTTTCCACTGCAGCATGACCTTATATTCTGTACTGGACATTACTTCTGTTAAGTAACTTTTGTCTAAGCAGAGTCAGACCTTACTGTACTAATTAAATAATACAAAATCAAGGCATGATCATCTTTTATTTTGGTCAAATAGGCGTAATCTAGAGGCCTTTACCTTTTATATAAGCCGCTTCTGATACCAAACTAAAAGTCAAGTTATTATTTGTTGTTCCTAAAACTTGGAAAGGCGACAAGACTTTTGTCAGGTAGTGTAGATGTATTAGTTTGCAGTTGCAATTATTGTATGAAAGCATTTCCAAAGTAATGGCTAGTGGTTTAAGTAGTACAGTATAGATGTATGCAGTTGTTTCATGTATGTCCAGATGAAGTCAAAAATCTTAACCCTGCGAATTTTTTCAGTTATTTCCAAAGTGACATTTGACTTACAGACATCATGTAAAATGGATGAAGGAAGGTACTAGTATTCAGCTTAATGTGCAATTTAAAGGCTTAACTTGGTTAATTAAATTAAAAGTGGTTTGTTCTGCATCCAATCGGTAAATAGGGGCTAATAATATTGACCTTAAACTACTTTTATTCCAGTCATAATAAGAACATATTATAGGAAATAATGTAAAAATGTCCTTGCTCTATTAAACATCACTTGGGAAATACCTGAAAGAGAATAAAACATTTTACAGCAGGGCTAATAGTTTTCAATTGTATATGCGAGTTAAGTCACATATTTAGTGAATTCTCTCATCATAAACAATTAAGTACAGAATCTGCAGATATGATGCATGCAGATGCATATGGCAGAGGTGAATTCCTAAACATTGCATGGGAGGTAGTATAATTATATTATTAATAATATTAATAGAGGCACTTTAAAAAAAGCATAGATTCTGATTGGCTGTCAATTCTGAAACCGATTCCAACAATTGTAGTTCTCAGTGCTGTTGTCATTATATTTGATGTGTTGTTTTATATTTGTGATGACTTTTCGAGCTATTTCTTTATCATTGACATTGTAGTGATCATTCTTGGTGTGAATGGCACTAAACTGCAGTTAGAAAGCAACTCATTACAAATATGGCAGAGCAAAATCTGAGAGATGTGATACAGACTCATTTGCTGACAGAAGCATAGATAATCAAACCAATAATGAGAGCCGCCACAGCCAGAACAGCCACCAGGATGAAAATCTTCTTGCGGAAAGACGTCTAGAGTGAACAGAGGAAACACGTCACTGGTATAATAATAGTAATGATAATTAGCTGTGAACATAATGTTAATTAACTAGTACAGGGGTCTCAAAACTTTTTAGGCCGCGACCCCCAAAATAACAATGCCAGTGACTCGCAACCCCCAGTATCTCCTCAGGTGGTTATAAATGTATAATCCTTGCACACAATAGCAAGAAAGTTTACCCTGGTTCCATAAGATCAAAGTGCTGTGTCTTTATTATACCGTAATCACTCTAGAGGTTGCAAAAAATTTAAAGGCTGATGGCTTTTTATTTGCATGTTGTTTTTTTTATGTATTTTTTATCTTTTATAGGTTATGGATAAAATATGGTAATTCTAATAGTTTAATAAAGTGAATTTGATTTACTTTGGGAACCACTGAACTAGTACATCAAATAAATTGCAGTACTTTAATTGATATGACTAAAAAGTTTATAAAATTTATTCCAGCTATATTTATAATGATAAAAGAAATTAGTTTCGTGACAAATTGTTAATGAGAGTTTTAAAACAATTATTAAAAATGGATTATCACAATTGTAATTTAATAAAAAAAAACCATTTACAAATATAAAAAGATACAACAATAATTAAATAAATAAATAAATAAAACAAATAAATACAAATTGTAAATAGATAAAACAAATTAGCTACTTACAATAATGTCAAGAAAATTATTTAACTTGCGTGTCCACGAAATCGTTTTTTTTTTGTGCTGCAGAAATGCCATCAATGTTTTTTTTTGTCAGTGTTAATGGAAGCGGCGTGTTTTTAAATGGCGCAATGTAGCAAGGCATATGCTGTGTCCAGCCTGATCTCACAAGAAAACGTAAGTATTTTACGTTTTGTCAGTTTAGTGGCTTATTCGTATGAATTCGTACGAGTTGAGGCGTATAAAATTGTACGATTTTAAAAAGGAGGCGTGGCACCTAACCCCACCCCTAAACCCAACCGTCATTGGGGGATGAGCAAATTGTACTAAACTGTACGAATTAGATTGTAACGAATTCATACAAATTGGCCACTAAATCAAAAACGTACAAATTGCCATGAGATTGTGTTGGTTGTGTCCCAATTTACATACTACTCCATTCATTTTCTTTTCGGCTTAGTCCCTTTATTAATCTGAGCTTGCCACAGCGGAATAAACCGCCAACTTATCCAGCATGTGTTTTACGCAGCGGATGCCCTTCCAGCTGCAACGGATCACTGGGAAACATCCATACACACTCATTCACAAACATACACTACAGACAATTTTAGCTTACCCAATTCACCTATAGCTCATGTTTTTGGACTTGTGGGGGAAACTGGAGCACCTGGAGGAAACCCATGCCAACAAGGGGAGAACATGCAAACTCCACACAAAAATGCAAATGGCCCAGCCAGGGCTCGAACCAGTGACCTTCTTGCTGTGAGGCGATTGTGCTACCCACTTTGCCACCATGCTGCCCCTCACATACTTCTTCTACGCCCTAAAAGTATGTACTTCTGAGCGTGTAACAGGAGAGTATGATACTTTGGGACAAACTACTTCCTCATTACCAGACTGTTATGTTGCCATTATGTTACACATCGTCCGCATTACTTTAATATTTAATTAACTACCCTATTGTTTAATCTAACATTCATGAGTCTTTCATGCAGGTGTTTGGACAATTATGCATTTAGAGGTTAATGTCCAAACGTGTCCTTATAAAAGTTCACATTTTGGTTGCAGATTAAACACAAGAAAACGTGATTTAAATATTTTCCAGTTGGCTAGATACTAATTAACAGTCATTCAAATAATTTTACCGAAGCCTCTCTAGTTGATGGTTGGTCTTGTGTCCGCCTTGTTTGTAGTTTGTTTACACTTGATACCAGAGTTTGTAGTTCTAATCGAATTCATGTCCAACGCGCAATGTATTGTGGCCAATATTAGCAGTAAGAGTATGGATGGTTCTACATTTGGTAGTTTTACCAGAAATAGTAGACCATCCGCGAACCTTTGGCATGGTATTTTCAACATGCTTTGGTTTGGGACGTGCAAATTCTATTTTTGAATACTATTTAGAATGGATTTGTGCATTGTTACGCTATGAATGCTTCGCATTTTGGAGAAGCTTCAGTTAGAGAAGTGCTCATAGCTGAACGTTTTAAAAATGTTCCTGCAGCACAAACAGTGCTTTGGTGCATAAAAAAAAAATCTTTAAAAGATATCATCATGCTAATTTACTCAAGTTGTAATATAACAGCAATACCAGGGTTTTTACAGGTTTCACCAATTTAAATTTAAGACTTTTAAAGACATTTTAAGACCATTGTGATTTTTTTTTAGACTTAAACAGGGCTAAATACTAGGCATTTTTTTAATATCCCAGTTAGTAAAGATTTTCACTTGCCCAATTAAAAAAGACTACAATTTAATACATTTAATAATACAACAATAATAATTTAGTTTGAAGTTTTTTTAAATTGATTTTCAAATATATCTATTTACAAACCCTTTAACCCTTACCAAAAATAGAACAAAACATAGCTGTCAATTATCTCCGTCTACAATAATAATTTAATAATAAAAATATAGGTCAGGTCAGTATCCTCAGCAGTAAATAAATAGAGAAATGTTATGCAAATGTTACTGTACGGAAAGTAATTAAATGCTATTTTTAAATAAAAAGTCACAAATCTTATTGAGATGGATTGTTGGCGATTGCTTGGGTGTTAATGGCCAGCAATACATGAACAAAAGAAAATTAAGAAAGACCTGTTAAAAAGATCTTTAAGATCAACAACATAACATTTCAGTAGAGCTTTTTAAGGCCTAAAATTTAGCTTTTGAGATTTTAGACTTTTAAGAGCCCACAGATACCCTGAATACCTAATAAACATAAAACACAAGCCAGTGCAAGTGATGGTTTCAAGCTAATTATAGCATCAGTTGACATTTGCATAGTTTTAAAGCTTCTTTTATTGTGGATTTGTAACACTTTTTGGAGTCTGAGAGTGTTCATCCATATCTACTTTCAATCAGCTACATTTCCTCTTTGTATTTCACAGAAGAAACTGAAATAATGTGAGGAAGAATAAATGCTGATCAGTGGTTTGTAAATACCTGGTGACCTGCTGCTCTTTGCAGCTGTTCTGTGGCTGACTGCACACTGATTTCTGCGTTTGATACGTTGGCCTCTATACTGTCTGTAGATGGAGAAAAACAGAGGTAAGACTTTATTATTCACACTTCTACACAGAAAACTGGACCAAATATTCTGAATGGATTATTTGCATAAAAAATGATTATTTGTGCATAACAGAAATGCTTTTGAATAATGCAATCGCCCACTTGGATCATGCATAATTCCCTCAAAACTTTTTTAAAATCCCTTTGTGAGCAATATTTCATCATTCATTTAAATTAGGTATGCATCTTCGGGTTATGCTGGACAGCACAAATAATGATGCAAACTGTTGTTATTCTGATGAAATCTCACATATGTAAACAACGCTTGTTATTAAAAGTTTAGTGCGTGAACAAACAGTCCCACTGAGCTGGTGTGTGTGAAGCCTCGCAGGTCTTCATTACCAGCAACTGCTTTTCCACTTTAACACCTTTAATTGGACTTTCCTGTCTAAGAGTTTCATCACTAAACATCCCCTTTGAGACAAGTCTGAAAAAACCGACATCATTCATTGTGAATTATATCAATCTTTTTATTTCATTCACATCATGTTTTATTTGAATTTCAGAAAATTGGCAAACCTGAATTTTAAGTTAGTTATGTTCTATAAGTGGTGTTAGCTGAAAAAATACAAGATGAAATAGTAAAATATTGGTATAAAACTATTATTCATTTATTCATTCATTTTTCAACACAGTGAAATGAACCGCTAACTATTCTAGCATATCTTTTACGCAGCAGATACCCTTCCGGTACTGGAAAACACCTGTATACTCTAACATTCACACACACACTGATACACTACGGTTAATTTAGTTTATCCAATTCACATATAGCGCATGTGTTTGGACTGTGGGGGAGCACCCGGAGGAAACCCACGCCAACAGGGGGAGAACATGCAAACTCCACACAGAAGTGCCAACCTTCTTAATGTGAGACCACAGTGCCAAACTATTATGATAGTGTAAAATTGCTACACACTTTCCTGTCTAATGGTTTCCTTTCTAAATATTTATTTTCACACAAATAAGTGCTGTAGAGAGCTGGGAAATACCACTAATTATGACAAAAGCAGTGGTATGTTTACCATTAATAGGATTTGAGTTTAATATTATGATAAAAGTGTCTACATTTGAACTAATTTATCTGGTTTGACATACAGTAAGTGTTTAATTTGTTTAGTGATTTAAATGCAGTTTTTAAGCTAACTTTGGTTGGATTGACCATTTTGATGAAAGCAGTACGGGCCTGGTGCTAGAGATTTGGCCATGGATTATTTTGCCATTTTACAGTGGATGCAACGATTAACCGGTTAATTAATCGTAAATGCTACTCAACACCGTGTTTCTGCATAGAACAAAACTGCTGCAAGTAAACAAAGTTATGCCAACTGTGTGCTAACATTCCAAGCTTGTACACCAAGGCTAATGCACAGTGGATAAAGGCTAATTTTAACAATGGCAGAGGATATTAACTAAGGGCGGTTCACGCGTCTTTTGTACGCGCAAGTTTGTTATTTCCAATGGAGGCGAACGGCTTGTGTATGCATATTAGCAGCAGTGTGTAATGTGATTTTACTAAACCAATAGTAATGTCCCGATCAGGCTTTTCTGCCCTGGAGTCCGAGTCATTTGATTTTAAGTATCTACCAATACTGAAACCAGATCCAATACTTCTATAATACACAAAGAATAAAGAAAAGCGAAGAGACCGATCCTGGATGTTCCTTATTTTTATCTTAATTCAACTTATTTTAACATTCAACAACTCTGTGAACAAACAGAGCACTTCTGTGAGGTAGCTTGAACAATCAAGTAATAAACAACATCAATTATTCACTTTAGGACTTTAGTGCAACAGTAAATATAAAAAGAGTCTAATATACAAACAAACAGCAGCTCAACTTAAAATACCTAGCAGGCAGTCCCAAGTTTACATTTCTCAGTTTGCTATAGCAATGTTGTTGTCATCAGTTTTATAAAACCTCCAGACAGCAGACATACCCAAGCTTCAGGCTGCTTCCGTGATCTACTTTTTCCGGCAAGTAATGTCATGCCGTACATGTTGCTGTTTCTGTGTGAAGTCAAAAAAGAGGTCTAACTCTGTGCCACCGCATAACTATAGATGTGTTCAAAAATAATGAGTATATATATACGAGTCCTGATCCGTCCGATTCTGATCAAGTCTAAAGCCCTGTGATCGGCCTGATTTCCAATCACATGATCTGATCTGGACATCCCTATAAACTAGTAGTGTTTTGAAATAAATGAATACGTAATAATCATGAAACTGTGATCATTCCTCAGACTATAATCGTACAACCAAAATCTATAATCGTTGCATCTCTAGTTAGCAACTATCAAGAAATGCCCTGGAAAACTATCAAAAACCATAGCATTGTGCCAGAGAGCGACAATTTATTAATAAAGTGTAAAAATATACACCTTACCAATCATGTCTCCCTGTTCATGCACCATCATGCCCAGATCTCTGAAGATTTCATTAATGTCTGTGATGTCCGACTGAAAAAAACAAGACAAACGTTTTATACATCTTTAAATTCTGCAGAACAAAAAAACAACCATGCAAAAATCACGACAGTAGCATAATGTTGAACCCTTGTTTACACCTGGTTTAAAGATCTGAAAACAAGAGGGTGATGCTAAATTTTACTCTGAACCAGAAAATCTTATATTGTACAAGTTTTTTTTTTTTTTTTGTGTGTGGGAATAGTCAAAAAATACACTGTATGGGTCAAGATTTTTATTTCATGTCAAGGCTCATTGAAATATTAAGTAAAGATCATGCTCAAGGAAGACATTTGATAAATTTCCTACTGTAAATGTATCCAAACTCAATTTTTGATTAGTATTGTACATTTCTAAACACTTTACTTAGACAATTTTAAAGGAGATTATCGTAGTAATTATATTTTTTTTAATCTGCAGACTCCAGACTTTCACCCAAATACTGTGCAATCCTAACAAACCATACATCAATAGAAATATTCTGCTTTTATTCAGATGAATCATACATTTCAATTTCCAAAAAATGTACAATTATTATGACTGGTTTTGTGGTCCATCACAAAAATGCCCACTTGAAACCACATTTTAATGGTTTACTTTTGTAGAGTAAATGCTAATGCAGTTGATTACATTGGAAAAGTCATAAAACTCTGCCTAAAAACCTAATTTGGCTGGACAAATACAGTACAGCAAGGCAAATGTAAAAAGCACAGTGTTTGAAAAAGAAACCCATAGTATTCGAAAGCTAGGAAAGCAGAACTGAAAGCTGCTACTTTGCATTTGGTCGAGTATTTTGTTGAGTCCTTTCACATTTCTTTGTAAAGTGCATAAGCTTACTTATTGAAGATATTAGATCAAAAGATCAGACAAGGCCCATTCATCCACTCATCTAAAGACCCTTCCCTCAAAGACATCAGGAAAGTGTAGGAAGAGATGGAAGTTGTAAACAAGAATGTGTTTCTCCATTCTACTTGTGATCCAGTTGACCCAAACTCATGCTTTGTTTACAACACATATTAAAAGATTTGTTCACAATCCCTTGAGATCTTCGAAACACAAATATTGATATTTTAGATGAAATCTGAGAGCTCTCTAAAGAGCTTTAATATAGTATGAGTTGAGTTGACTTTATTAGTATCTGTAGCTAGATTCTTTTGCAGCAAAGTTTGGCATTTGATACAATTAATGCCCAATCCCAATTCTACCCCTTAGCCCTTCCCCTTACCCCATCGTTTTGCATGTGAACGCCAAGGGGTAGGGGTGTCCCAGTTCTATTAAGCTTGAAGGCGTAGGGCTAAGGGAAAGGGGTGAATCACCCTTCGAACAAAGATTTTTTTAGGACCACACTTAAACCAAGAGGTAAGAAAATTTCCCAGAATACACCAGCCACAAAGGCAGTATTGCTTCAAAAGTGGTATCTATCAATTAAGGAACATTGCCAAATTTAAACTTTTTCTGTCTTTTAAAGAGTTGGAAACCATCATTAATGTTTTTATTATCTCCAGATTCGACTACTGCAACTCTTTGTTTCGCTGGCTTCAATTGCTAGGCTTCAGCTGCTAGGCTTTTTCACTGGGACAAAAAAAAAGTTCTAGTCTCACCAGTTTTATCATCCCTTCTCTGGCTCCCAGTCCAATTTAGGATTCAGTACAAGTTATTGCTACTTCTTTTTAAAGGTTTGACTTTTTATTTTCAATTTATATCAGTGTGCTTCATCCCTGGCACACTTTGTTGAGGCCAATCAGATCGGAAAAAAAGTTTCAGCTAGTTGTTCCCAAAACACGGTTGAAATCAAGAGGTGACAGGGATTTTTCTGTCAAAGCCCGTTTGTGGAATGGTCTGCCTTTACTTATTAGGTCATATTATGCTCTTCCCTTGGTGCTTTTAAGTCTCATTTAAAAAAATCTGTCTTTTGCTTTTTGATTGCAAATAATTAATTTTAATCTGTTTTATATATTTTTCTTAAATATATATATATATATATATATATATATATATATATATATATATATAAACATATATATATATATATATATATATATATATATATATATATATATATATATAAACATATATATATATATAAACATATATGTTTGCTTTATTTATAGAGCACATTTAAAAACAACAGATGTTGACTAATATATATATATATATATATATATATATATATATATATATATATATATATATATATATTTTTTTTTTTTTTTTTTTTTTTATTTATTTATTTTTTTTTCTTGTTTGCTGGTCTTTTTGGTCAACATCTGTTGTTTTTAAATGTGCTCTATAAATAAAGCAAACAAACTTCTGAGGTAAACCGGTGGAGAAGCACAAGCTTTCTGACAGGGAACTGTTTATTCGCACACTTTGTGTTCTATTGGTTAAAAAGTCTAAAATCCAACAAACAAGATTGATACTTAATTGAAAATGATTTAAAAGTCGCTGGATTAAAATGTGAGGATAAACTGTATTAAAAACTGAGGAAAAATCTATAAATAAAAGCCAAGCACGAGCCCCCTTACCCTCAAGATGCTCAAAGTAAATGCAGCAGAATGATTATGGCATCTTCGACACCTCTATTAAGCCTGTATGCAAACTGGATTGGGTCAAGAACTTGTTCTGTACTTTTAACAATTTCTGTCCTTATCATTTTTTCAAAAATATTCATAGGGATATACGTCAGAGCCACAGTCCTTAAATCATTTCAAGTTGTTGAGAGGCAACTGGACCTAGGACATGGTATGACAATAGCGTCCTTCCAAATTTTTAGTACATGCTGTTTTTTCAGAGACTGATTAAAAATATTGTAAAAATTGTGCTCAGCTCTTCTGCACGTGATTTAAGCAGTCGACCACAGACTTTATCTTGTTCAGAACTCTTATTAACTTTAAAAGATTTTAAAAAGTATTAAAAACTTTTTAAACTTGTTCCTGTTTCAGAATAAAGTGCTCTATGTCCAGGAGCTTAATACGAAGCTCCTGAATTTCATTATTAAACTCTTGAGGTATCAAAGCGATTATAAAAAAACATTAAGTGCATTAGCTAAGTCCATATCTGAATTAAAACCTTTTAAAATACAATTTCCGCAATTTTTAGTTCTCACAATACATGAATGACATATCGCCACTAGAGTCAGCAGCGCAACATGCAAGCGTCATATTCCCTCTAGTAAACGCGCACCCTGATCTGATACAGAAGATGTAGACAAACAAAACTGTTTTTACACTTTTGTTGGCGCACAAAAGTGTTCTTGGAGCTTCGTATGATTACAGTTGAACCACTGAAGTCACATGGAGTGTTTTGACGTTTTTGACCACATGTTTGATCATGCATTGCTGTCAAAGTGTAAATATTCCTGTTATCCAATGCGATTGAGCAGCCACAGAACACTATATACTCTTTCAATTTGAGTGTTAGGGGACATGTTGTAAGAACATTTATCAAAACAATTGGTGTATAAGACTTAATTTGGTGATTCAATTAGTTTCAATTGATTGGATTTCAGTATATTAGAACAAAAACACATATCTTTCACTTCCTTTTCCACTCATTATCACGTGGCGTCGGTTTATTCAATTCAATTCAGCTTTATTTGTATAGCGCTTTTACAATTTAGATTGTGTCAAAGCAGCTTCACATAAATGGTCATAGTAACTGGAACAGTGTGGTTCAGTAACTGGAACAGTGTGGTTCAGGTTTTAGTGTTTAAGTTCAGTTCAGTTCAGTTTAGCTCAGTTCAGTGTGATTTAATCATTACAGAGAGTTCAAACACTGAAGAGCCAACTCATGTAATAGTACTTGTGTTGCAAATGTGCTGCATTGAGCACACTTTCATAAAGCATAAAGAAATAAGGGATAAAAGTTTCCACAAAATCTGAAAATGAAAAGCATAAAGAAATGAGAGTGAAGGGTCTTCTCAAAATCTGAACAAAAGTGGCCACAAGAGATGCATTTCAATGTTAAAACCAGGTGGAAACTGCAATATGCACTTGTGATCAGATCAGTGACAATGCATTGTAATACCCAGTGGAAACAGGCCTCACCTCCAGCTGTCTGATCGAAGATTCTCTTTCCTGAATGAGCCGCAGATCTTCTTCTGTGATGTTCTCCTCATAGCTCTGAGCTTGAGCACTGAACTCACTAAAAACACATATGGAAGCAGAAAGTTTTAGACAGTTTTTCATATAATATTTACATATTCATTTATTTATGAAGTATTACTGTTTTTTATTTTAATTAATTTTTTACTCCTTCCTATTGTGTGCATTTATGTTTTTATGATTTTACGTATTTCCTATGGGATTCTATTTGATCACTGAATTTCCTTCAGGATCAATACAAGCATCTAACTAACTAACCTTTGGAATGCTGGAGCAGCTCTTCCAAACACATCATCTATATCTCCACCCTGTAGACAGAAAGAGAATTGTAAGACTTTTTAAAAAAATAAAAATCGCTTAAACCCATTATTCTTACTTTTTACACATACAATTACAAATTAAGTACCACAGTATCTATAGTATGGATCGATGATGCAACAAAATAGTTTTTTCAGTCATGCATCTGATAGCATTGTGTTATGCAAGTGTAAATGCATTCAAGTCTATGGAACATTTTTTTTTATTAAATGCAATAATTTGACACAAATAGTGATGCATACATGTAATAAAAAGTAATATAAAAAGTAAAGATTTGTTGGAAACAATAATAATAATAATTCATTATATTTAGATAGCGCTTTTCTTGACACTCAAAGTGCTTTACACATTGGGGGATCTCCTCATTCACCACCAGTGTGGAGCATCCACCTTGATCAGTGGTGTCCAAACTCGGTCCCGGTGTCCTGCTGAGTTTAGCTCCAAAACACCTACAAGAAAGTTTCTAGTATATCCAGTAAGAGCTTGATTAGCTGTTTCGGGTGTGTTTGATTAGGATTGGAGCTAAACTGTCCAGGACAACGGCCCTCAAGGACTGAATTTGGACTGATTGGTGGATAGGAGACAGAGTGATGAAGCGAATCCTGATATGGGGATGTTTAGGAGACCATGATGGAGAGAGGTCAGTGGGCAAATTTGGCCATGATACCAGGGTTAAACCCCTACTCTTTTCTGAAGGACATCCTGGGATTTTTAACAACCACAGAGAGTCAGGATCTCGGAATAACGTCTCACTGAGCAGTATAGAGTCCCCATCAATATACAGAGGCGTTAGGACCCACACAGACTGCAGGTTGAGCGCCCCCCTGCTGGTCTTACTAACACTATTTCTGGCAGTAACTCAGCTTTCCCATGTGGTCTCCCATCCAGGTACTCACCAGGTGCAGCCATGCTTAGCTTCAGTGGGCAACCATGCGAAAGTTGCAGAGTGCTAGCTGCCGGCAAATCAATCTAAGGCCCCGTTTACAGCTAATATTAGCTAATATTACCCTTCATGACAACTGTGAGGGGGGTGAATTTTTTTATTACTCATCCGTTTCCTTTATATTCAGTTATATTAAGTTTTGCTACGGTTACGCCATCCGTCCACACTACGCCGGAGTTCTCGAGCGCCGAAAACGGAGCTTTTTGAAAACGATGGAAAGGCCGTTTTCATTCTAAAACGCTGCTGCTCCGTCTCAGTGTGGATGGGGAAAGACGGAGATATCTGAAAACGGAGGCGGGGCTGCAAACGTTCGCCTATCTGATTAGGGCTTTTCCTCAATATTAAGTAGCCCACACACAGTTCAGTCTCGCATCCTCTTCTTGTTAAGACTTCGCAAGTTTGATCAAGGCTGCAGTCTCCCCCTTTTCAATTTGATATGGAAAACATACCGAGGACACGGGTAAATCTTCAAAGGGAACAGTGTACTTTATAAATTCATTCACATCACCTTGGCTACGTTGTTTCACTTTCTCAACAATAAAATGTAAACATGATTTAAGGAACTGCCTATTTTCTTTTTAATATTAGCAACTTAACAGACAGCAGAAATGTTGAGGCGCCGTGCTGCATAATGAGCATCATCTTCACTGTGTGGATATTTATAACAAAACAGAGCCTATAACAACTGCCTCCTTTCAATTTCAGTGAAAATACGAAACGCACCCTCTCTTTTGCTGAATATCAGTTTTAATAATCGATAATTATAAAAGTATAACATACAATAAGTTTATACATTGTAGGAAATAAAGGCAAGCGATCAGTCAATGTACCTGGATTAATCATTAACTTATCTTTGCGCTTAACCAAAACATGTTACCCGTGAAGTAACTTAATAGATTCCAACGACCAAAGTCAGGGAATTGGCCTATGTCGTTAGATAAAGACAACAACATGAATGAAATATCACGTTCAGCAAATATAGTGAGATTAGATCCAGCGGGAGATGCTTGATGAGCAGTCCGACAAGCAGAGCTCTCATCTGGGTAGAAATGCTGGAGCGCTTGCCCAAGAGTGTGTGTGTGGTCACGTGATGTGCGTTTTCAGCGTTTTGGTGTGGACGGAGAGCAGTTCAGAAACGCTGGGTAAAACGCGAGTGTGGACGCGGATCGTTTTCATTCTACAACGCCGTTTTAAAACTAAAACGCACTAGTGTAAACGGGGCCTAAGGGAGAAAATACTCCCTTCTAGTGGAAAATGTAATTTCTGTCACTTTTATTATGAACCACCACCACAACATTTGTGAAGAATGGGAAATGCTTTAGAAGTCAGCTACAGCACAAAAATATAGTAAGTATAATTTTGCCTACTTACCATAATATTTAAAAGCAATGAAAGATTATACAATACAAAAAAAAATCCCTTAACATGTGGCATTTAAGTAGTGTGTATATGACAAAAGACATTAGAAACTTGCACTTCAGTGTAAGATATTAGAGTCTGCATAAATGTAATGTCCTATTGGATGGAAAACATGGCATAATATCAAGAAATGATGGAAAAAACTCACTGAAACTCTGGAGCTTGCGCGAACACGAGCCACAAACTCCTTCTCTTTTTTTGCTACCTCTCGCTGAGCTTTCTGGAAGACGGCCAGTACGTTGGAGAATTCAGTGATGAGACGTTCTCGCTGGATCTTTCTTTGCCTCTGTATCAGAACAAAGACTGTTAGAGGAATAGTTCACCCAAAAATGAAAGTCTGGAGGCAGTGAAACATTCTTCAAAGTATCTTATTTTGTGTTCCACAGAAAAAAATAAAGCCATAAAGATTTAGAATAACATCAAGGTGACTATATGAAATGACTATAGGCATACATTTACCGGCCACTTTAATAGGTACACCTTACAAGTACTGGGCTGGACCCCCTTTTGCCTTCAGAACTGCTTTAATTATTCATGGCAAAGATTCAACAAGATACTAGAAATATTCCTCAAAGATTTTGGTTTATATTGTTGCAAATTTGTCGCTGCACTTCCATGATGCCAATCTCCCTTTCCACCACATTCCAAAGGTGCTGTATTGGATTGAGACCTGGTGACCGTGGAGGCCATTTGAGTACAGTGAACTCATCGTCATGTTCAAGAAATCAGTCTGAGATGCTTGACATGGCGTGTTATCCTGCTGGAAGATGGGTACACTAGTTATAAAGGGATGACACCACACCATTACACCACCACCACCAGGCTGAACCATTGATATAAGGCATTATGGATCCATGCTTTCATGTTGTTGATGCTAAATTCTGACCCTCCCATCTGAATATCACAGCAGAAATTGAGACTCATCAGACCAGGCAACATTATTCCATTCTTCTATTGTCAAATTTTGGTGAGCCTGTGCGAATTGCGAACTGCCGCTCACTGGAAATTTTCTCTTTTCAGACTACTCTCTGTAAACCCTAAAGATGGTAGGGATCTCAGTAGATCAGCAGTTTCTGAAATACTCCCACCAGCCCGTCTGGCACCAACAACCATGCCACGTTCAAGTCACTTAAATCACCTTTCTTTCCCATTCTGATGCTCAGTTTGAACTGCAGCAGATCGTCTTGACCATGCCTAAATGGATTGAGTTGCTGCCATGTGTTTGGCTGATCAGAAATCTGTGAGCAGTTGGGCAGGTGTACCTTATAAAGTGGCCGGTTAGTGTATATTTCAATATATTAAGCTACATTCTATTACTCAATTGTAAAGCATTTATAAATATGTGTATGTGATGAAGTATGAGTTTGATAGTACCTGTTCTGTGGTCGCAGGTAAAGAGCTGAAATCTTTCATGCATTTATCTGTCACTTTAGCAAGTTGATTGACACTCTGCTGCTTCTCCTGCCTATTTATTTTGACAAAGACAAAAGAATATATTTGAATTATATACATTTTAGGGATCCACAGAAAGGCCATTTGACTGATATTGATTTTAATAAACTGTTAGCCTATATTCCTAATCATTTGTCCTTAAAACAGATATATTTTATAGTCGGTTTAACGCTATAGCCAAAACACAGACCGTTTTAAATTCATTAATGATTAGCTGATAAAAAATAGGCTAAATAGATTCATCTCTATTTATTTTATGTGCTAAAGGACTGAGATCCAAACTAGATGTTTGTATTTGGCTCACAATGTCTGTCGCAGGTCACTTGTGTCTTGTGCCGTTCCAAGATGTCTCATCAACTGCTGGATTTCATTAGCTGGGAAACAGAAGCAAGATCTAAATCAGCTTTAAACACCTCCCATGTTATCAGGTTACAGAAAGGACTGTTTTGTCGTAAACAAATGTGTTCCGCTTGTACTTGACTTTTTATCTGTTGTGGTTTTGTGAATGTAGCACATTAAATTGCATAGCAGATAAATGGAGAACAACTGAACAAAGAAATTGAAGATGTGAAAACAGAAACATCACCACCATCCAGGCGTGGCTAAAAATACAAGTCAAGTCTAGACATAATCATTAAAAAAGTACGAGTTTACTAACAGTTATTGTTTGGTAAAAAAAACTGATGGTACATTTTTGTAAGCTATACAATTTTTATAGCACATAAATAAGAGTGAATGTACTCACTTAGAAGCGTTATCCTCTGGATGTTTGAACTAATAGTCTGTGCCAGCCCATTGGCATCGACTTCTCTTGATCCATACATGATGGAAGCCTTTAATGAAAGAGACAGAAAACACATTTGTAGAAATCACATTTATTTGCAGGCCTACAATCGCACAATTATCTCTTATACTGCGCTACATAATAACAAGCTTATACAATTTATTCATAAACATGTTTTCTTATATACATTGCTCCTAAAACATACTATTTGAACGTGTTTTTACATATGGCTTATCAATTTCTTCCTTCAATAACATTCAACTATCATTATATTTGATCCTACATGCTACAGAATAGTTTGTATATTAACATGTATGAACTGAAATGCTGGATTTGCGACGTTTTTAATAAATGTCAAGTAGTGACAGACTTTCACGAGTTGTAAACATGTTTTACACAAACTATACATACTTATTAATGTTTAATATTCCCACATTCATTTAGGGACAACTTGTGACATGTTTCCTATATTGTTTACTACTTTAAATATTCGGTCTGAATCATATGCCTCCAAAACAACATTAGCACTATTTAATTGACCATGAACAATGCTGTACTTTAATTGTCATTTGCTGGGAATATGATTTGACTATTTAGTATTAGTAAAGAATAGTTTTCTGAAATTATATTAAGGAGAAAGTCTGAATGTGTGAATATAAACCAACTTTAAGTTACCCTTAAAACGTACTGTACTATTTGGAGACCAAAACAATTGCTCACTATTTTGTATGCGTTTCTTAATTATATTAATGGGGACATTCAAAAATGCTTAACATGAAGAAAGCGGGGCTTAATGTAACTAAACATCAACCAGAAAACCCCAAATTTCTGTCAAACTGTACTTGTAATTAACCCTAATTACTGTAAAAAGAATGAGTCCCAATTAAGCAGATAAATTGAAAAACATCATGTTAGGCGTTTACTCCCCCATTGGAGTCTATTATAAGGATAAAGCTTAACGTGGCTTAATGTACCTTAACAGCAAGTGGGAGAAACCAAATTTCTATAAAAGTTACAAACACTTTCTGATGTCAAAAGAATGAGCTCTTATTTTAGTGGGTAAAAATTATCACGGTATGCAATTCTCCCCACTGAGTCCATTATAAAAGGAAAACGCTTAACATGGCTTAATGTATACCTCAACAAGTGGGGTACACCAAAAATCTATCGAATACTTGTGATTAACACTAACTACTATCAAAAGATCAAGCCCTTAGTCTGTAGATAAAGCGGACAATGTTGTTAAGCATTTTATCCCCATTTCAGTCCATTATAACAGCTTAATGTGGTTTAACTTAACATCTAGAGACAATCAAATTTCTATAGATATATATTCATGAAAAACACTTACTGCTGTAAAAGAACAAGCTTTTATTTTAGTGTATCAAGTGAGCAATATCACTTTCAGCATTCTCCTCACAGAAGCGCATTATAAGGAATCAGCTTAACGTGGCTTAACATATCTTAACCCAGACCAGGGAAACCCAAATTTCTTTACTTGTGATTAAGACAAACTATTTTTAAAAGAATGGGCCTTAATTCCACAGATAAAGTTAACAATATCACGTTAAGTGTTTTCTTCCCCGTTGAAGTCCTTAATAAGGAAAGCTTGACTTAAAAACAGAGGGAAACCAAATTATAAAAAAGCTGTTCAAAAAATCTAACTTAATTTATTATAGATTAACCCTTTGCTGTCAAAAGAATGCACTTGTGCATGTCATTGACATCCCCACAACAACATAGGGAAAAACGCTGTTCACTTAAGCTGTGGAAATGGGGCAAATTTTTAATTTTTTTGCTATATAGTTAGTGCTAACCACAAGTAAAATTTGATAGAAATTTGGTTCCCCCCACTTGTTGTTGAGGTACATTAAGCCACATTAAGCTTTTACTTATAATAGACTTCAATAGTGGAGAAAACGCTTAGCGTGATATTTTTCACTTATGGAATTGGGACTCTGTCTTAACAGTAGTTCGGGTTAATTACAAGTAAAGTTTGATCGAAATGTGGGCTTCTCTGGTTGATGTTTAGGTATATTAAGCTATTGAGGCAAAGTTGGTTTTATATTCGCACATTCTTTCAGTGACAACTTGTGATACACTCCCTATATTGTTTACCATGCTACTTTATATATGAAGTCTGAAATCACATGTAAGTATGACCTAAACATTAGCATTATTTAATTGACTGAGAGCAGCGTGTACTTTGAAAGTCATTAGATGCTAATATGATGTCCCTAATCAGAATGTGCAGTTCTTAGCCAAAATTATATTATTAAGGATAAAGTCTATAGTATAAAATCAACTTAACCTCAATTATTAAGCTTATTTCATGCGTTTTAGAATCTCCCTTAATGATATTACTGTTGTCATTTTGAATTAACGAGAAAACTTGCCCCATATAGTTGCTCACCTTGCTTTGAAATATGCCTTATTAGCTCAATAATTACTCGAAAATAGCTGGCGTAATGTTGTTTATTGGTTAGCAGGCTAGTACTAAACAGATGACTAGTAAAACCGATCTGCGCTGCACCTGCAAAACGAAAGAATGCGGAAATCACGGCTCACAAACTCACAAACACGCATTTTCATTTATAAAACTAGACAGCTATTGTTTTAACTTTGCTGACACACAACAAACATTAACATTCGGGAATCTTACAGTGTAGTTTCATGTCAAGTGAACACAAATCGCGCTGTCAACAAATATGCTTCAGTGAATGAACTTTGCGCTTGCTACTTTACTGACTTCTCTTTTAAACTACCCTCAACAACTATTTACGTAAAGTCTGCACACATGTACAGTTTATAAATACGCATCGTTTACTTTAATATGTACTTTGGTTGTTCGGTTTACCTGGATTTCCTGAGTGAAACTCCGAGCCCTCAGCTGATTTCTTTGACGCGCGGGTCACGTGACTTCTGTTCTATCTTCCGTGTGCGTTCAGAAACATGTAGTAGATTAGTAATGTACTTGACGCATATACTAAACTATTGAGTTTATGTACTATATGTTTAGATCGACAAATACTAGGCAGATGTCTATTATTATTAACTTACCCCAATTAAAAAAGTAAAAAAAAAAAAAAACTAGCCTACATAACAAAAATAAAGTAGACTTTAACTTGGTTTCCACATGGGTAATAAGTAGCCTAACCTTACTAAAAAGAAGTATACTTCACGTTCCTTTTTATTAAGTATAGTTAGTTAATATTGATATATCTTAAGCATACTTCACATAAACATTTATGTAGGCTACTAGTAGTATAGCTATGTGGTTCCCAAATTGGGGTTTGTGAGACAATGAGGGTGGGTTGCTTGGTGATTTCTCTTTAATATATGTTATTAAACTATTAGAATAGCCATATTTTATCCATAACTTACAGAAGATAAACATGGTATTTAATAGTTAAATAAAATAACAGCATGCAAATAAAAAGCCATCAGCCTTTCAATTCTTTTCCCATTGGATTCCAACCCCTGGGGTTATTACACTAGATTAATGGCACAATGTTAAACTCTGACACCTTTACGGCACGCGTGTACATAAAAAATAAAGGCCACGACTACACATAGAGGACGATCCCCAAAATTAAACCAAGAATAGTCTTGTGCTGCAAACAGTGTGCTCACCGTTGTCATTAAGTGAGATTAATAGTAAATTAAATATTGACAAAAAAAATTATTTATATATATATAAATATATATATATTATATATGTCGCTGCGAGTTACTGAAAGTTAGCGTCATAATCTAACGTGCTAACCACTGGACCACAACAGTTGTATATGAAGGACTGACTCATCTGACTAATATCGTCATTAACCTGCAGGCTGGTCATATATAAAAAGAGCAGAGCTGCGGTAAAATGATGAATAAGAAGACTGTAGTCAAGTAAGTAAATAAATTAATTTAAAAAGTGTGACTGCTGAGAGCAACAGATTCTAGAGCTAGGGACACCGGCCCTCGCGGCCAAAAAACGCACCGGCCCACCGGGAATTCTCCCGGTCCTCCCGATTAGCCAATCCGGGCCTGATACACACACACACACACACACACACACACACACACACACACACACACACACACACACACACACACACACACACACACACACACACACACACACACACACACACATACATACATACATACATATATATACATACACACACACACACTCACACACACACACTTACACACACACACACACACACACACACACACACACACACATATATATATATATATATATATATATATATATATATATATATATATATATATATATATATTTAATTATTTATTTTTTGTGTGCACTGTTTGTATGTTGTACTGTTTGGATTGCGAGTCACTGGAATTGTTATTTTGGGGCTCACTAGCTGAATAGTTTGGGAACGCTTGTTATGAGCTACTTGTAATACTTGAATATATCATAGAACTAAATTGGCTAGCTTTTAGTGTAGTATAAGTGTGACAGTACACTTTAAGTGTACAACTAGTCATAATGCTTGTAGTAAATGGTTAGTTTGCCCCAAGCTCAGAATTTGGGCTTCGAATTAACTACAACTACACACACACACACACACACACACACACACACACACAAAAAATAATGCAATCGCTCTTAGCGTACTCTTTGTTAAATTTTAGTTTTAGTGTTGTAGGCTATGTGCAAGTTTACTTAAAGTATACAAAAAACACTCAATTCATATATGTTGAGAATTACTATAATTTAACTACAGTTAAAATATACCTTGCACAAAATTAGTTCTTTTAAAAGTAAAATTTGTTAGCAAAATTAACTAACCATCAACAAATTTGTAATGTACTGTAATGTAATGTGTGTATTTATAAAGCGTATTTATCTTGTATGGCCATACACCCAAAGTGCTTCACAATCATGAGGGGGGTCTCTCCACACCACCACCAGTGTGCAGCATCCACTTGGATGATGCGACAGCAGCCACAAGACAATGGGGCCAGTGCGCTCGCCACACACCAGCTGTTGGTGGAGTGGAGAGACAGTGATAGAGCCAATTCGGTGGATGGGGATGATTGGGAGGCCATGATTGTAAGGGCTGATTGAGGGACTTTAGCCAGGACACCAGGGTTATACCCTACTCTTGCCATGTGCCATTGGATTTTTAATGACCACATAGGGTCAGGACCTCGGTTTAACGTCTCATGCGAAAAACGGCACCCACTGACAGTATAGTGTCCCCTTCACTCATACTGGGGCATTAGGACTCAAACAGTCTGCAGGTTGAGCACCCCCTGCTGGCCTCACTAACACCACTTCCAACAGCAACCTAGTGTTCCCATGTGGTCTCCCATCCAGGTACTGGCCAGGCTCAGCCCTGCTTAGCTTCACAGAAAAAAAAAACAACAACAATAATATCTTCTAATATCTAGTAATATATAGTAATATATTTAAAAACAAAACATCTCACAAGCACTCAAAATAAAATTCTCTATCATGTATATACCTTTATAAACGCTCTTTGTGTGTCTGAGGCCGTACTCGCACCATGTACAGTTGCCTCGAACCGGGCCAAAGCACGCTTGTCCCCCCTCCCGTCTCCCCCGACGGCCCGCACTCACACTACAATCGGGCCTGGGCACACTTACGTCATCGCTGCTGCGCTGTTCAGTAAGTGCTCTCGCTCCAGTGGAGACTTCTCTAGCTATATCGTTTCCGTCGTTTGATATGCAGTGACATGCAGTCTAATATTTCGCCAAACAGTCCTTAGGGATGCTGTGACACGCAGTCAGATATTTCGCCGAACAGATTTTTGCCGAACTGCCACTTTTGGCGCTCATAAACAATCAAAAAGCCCTCGCACTGCAGGAATTATGAGGTTTGCTGAAGGTGCACAGCTGTCATGCTGTGGGGAGTTTGCGTATTTAATAAACTACGGCAGTTTGCGTTCACTGAACAGTAAGATTGATTAACAAATCCATATGAAAGTCCCCTAAAAGTCACGTCTCGCTTTCAGTTTCGGGCTTTGGCACGTTTTGCACTCACACTACAAGCGTTACGCACCAAAGCCCAAGTGAATCTGGCTCAAGCACACCTCTTCCAACCGGGCCAGGGTCGGCCAAGTCAACTGTGCCTGAGCCCGATTCAGTGCACTTACACTTCTCAAACGATCCGGGAAACGGGCCTGGGCACGGTTCGGATAGCATAGTGTGAGTACGCCCTGAGAAGCTGAAAATATGCATTCCATAACATTCTGTGTCCAGTGGTGAAGTGTAACTGGAGAAGCCGATCAGAGATACTGTACAGAGGGGGTGCATCCAAAGCGGATCAAATAAATCAATGAGTTTATCCATAACTAACTAAAAGGGCATCAGTGAGCAAGAAAACATCTCCATGTTTGATTTCCTTCATTAAATTTAGTACAAACACTTACAGTTTTTTTGCTGATGAGTGTGTATGTGATACAAATAATTAATAGATATCAATTGGAATCAGGCTCCCTTGTCCTAAACACCCAGAATGCATAGCGATGCTTATGACATGTTCCCTAAGCTCTATACTGACAATTAATCTATCTGCAAGAATACTTAGCATATTTGTTTTTCACTAAGGTAGGCCTGCGAAGCAGTGGCGCAGTAGGTAGTGCTGTTGCCTCACAGCAAGAAGGTCTCTGGGTCGCTGGTTTGAGCCTCGGCTCAGTTGGCGTTTCTGTGTGGAGTTTGCATGTTCTCATGTTCTCCCTGCGTTCGCGTGTGTTTCCTCCGGGTGCTCCGCTTTCCCCCACAGTCCAAAGACATGCAGTACAGGTGAATTGGGTTGGCTAAATTGTCCGTAGTGTGTGTGTGAATGTGTGTGTGTGTGGATGTTTCCCAGAGATGGGTTGTGGCTGGAAGGGCATCTGCTGTGTAAAAACTTGCTGGATAAGTTGGCGGTTCATTCCGCTGTGGCGACCCCGGATTAATAAAGGGACTAAGCCGACAAGAAAATGAATGAATGAATGAATAAGATAGGCCTTTGTTAAATTAGGGCATTTAAGCAGCTTTTAATAAAAATAAACAAATACAGAAACTCCAATGACATGGATGTACTTTAAGATCTGTCGCTGCGAGTTACTGAAAGTTAGCCCTGAGCTTTATCTCAGAAACTTGGGAAAAATACAATATTATGTGAGAGAAATATTTAATAGGCCACTCAATTAAAGGAGTAAAGTCAACTACAAATTGTCCTAAAACTGGCGACACGTTGGCTCAGTGGTTATCACTGTCGATTCGCTGCAAGACGGTCGCTGGTTTGAGTCCCGGCTGGGTCAGTTGACATATCTGTGTGGAGTTTGCATGTTCTCCCCGTCTTGCCATTTAAATTAACTGTAGTGTATGTGTGTAAATGAGTGTGTATGGATATTTCCCAGTACTGGGTTGCAGCTGGATGGGCATATGTTGAGTAAAACGTATCCTGGGTAAGTTGGCGGTTCATTCCACTGTGAAAATGAATGAATATGTAAATATATGAACTTGTCAGCTTTTTGTATATGAAATATATTTAAGTGTAGTATGACTGTGGCAGTAGTTCACTTTACGTGCACAACTAGTCGTAATACTTGTGGTAAATAATTAGTTCGTGAACTTTGTCCCATGCTCAGAATTTGGGCAACAAATTAACTTTTACAACTGCACTATACGCAGACACACACAAACACACACACACACACAATAATGCAATCATTCTTAGTGTAGTTAACTAGCAAAACATAAAATTTTGGGTCCAAACCAGTTTACTGATTGGCAGACAAATAATTCTTAGGAGCTGGAAATCAGAGGAGGCCCCTTCCTTCCAAGAATGGGCAGTAGAACTTGCTAGAGTGGCCGCATTTAAAAAAATGTCTCATAAGCAAATGGACAAGCTAAACCTATACTTTAAAAAATGGTTCAAGTACTTAAACTGTTTGGAAATGGAACAGTAATAAATGTATGAGAAATATACTGATGTCAACAGTGTAAAT